ATTTCACTAATGCAACTTAAAAGGTGAAACTAATATATGAGATAGACTCATTACATGCAAAGCAAGATAATTCAAGCCGTGATTTGTCATAATTGTGATGATTATGGCTTACAGCTCATGAAAACCCCAAGAACCCCAAATCCACAACCTCAAAAAAGTAGATTATTACATGCAATCAATAAAACAAGGATTGTACATAGAACAATATCGGACCTCTGAAAAGTACAAGCATGCATATGTACTCAGTACTTGGTTTGGGCCCCTTTTGCAGCACTTACTTTTGCACGATATTCTAATGAATCGAGTTTCACCTGTATATATCTATCATTAGTACATACCAGGTGCCTAATTGATTTTCCTCTACATTAGTATATAAATACAATATTAGTATCTATATAATTAGAGCTGCAGCTAACGATTATTTTCAAAATCGATTAGTTAGCCGATTATTGAGTTCGATTAAAAAGGTTGGATTCAACCTTCTTTACGCTTTTATATAACGTCCTCATTATTATCATTGTTGACCTTATTTCTGAACTGCCATGCCGAATACAGCTGTTAAGTTGTGTGAGTTTTCTGATAGACGGCCGGTTATTTCAGCTTTCCTTACAAATCTCACATCTTAACACTTTTTGTATCAGCTTGACGCCTGGCATACTTAATCCTTGTATTTGCTGCCTCATTACGCTGCTCGTTTTCACTAGAGGTAAATGTGTCAATGTCTATGCTGCTGTGCACTTAAAGTGCATGATTATTTTTCCCACTTTTTTCTCTTCCATTGCATGCTTTCCAATAGACTTCTGACTCCGGTAGCATCCTGATGTTGTGCCGCAGATTTGAAGTCTCACGTTCACTTTGCAATGAACCATGTTGAAATGACCACTGGAACAGCTTGCACAGTCTTCTTTTGAATCTACTGCTCATGATCAGCAATGGACCTGTTTTCAATGCGGCATGAGCGCTGGTGTACTCAGCATCACTTTTACAAAGCGATGCACTGAGGGCTTGTTCACACCAAGCGTGTTCCAGGAGCAGAGCAGTTACAGAACGGATCAAAACTGAGTCCAATGTATTCCTAATGGTATTTTGGGCTCTAGTTCACACCGCAACGTTCAGTTCCAGAGCATGTAAAAAAAATTGCAGCAAGCCCTATTTTACCTGCTCTGGAACGCATGCAAATACATCAAAAACACATGCAAACGCCCTGGAACGCACTGAAAGCCCATTCTAAACTAAAAAAAAATATTTTAAACCAAAAACGGCGTTGAACGCATCAAAAACGCAGTATAACGCACTGCGTGTGCAGAAACTCATGCATATCTGGTCTGCATTTGGTGTGAACAAGCCCTAAGAAGTTTGGGATTGTATCCTGTAAGATACAGGAATAAGTATCATACAAGCTGCCCTGTAAACCATTAGGCCTCATTCACACGCAATGCAAGAGCAACATTTCACACATTTGTAAATGCGTATATATGTAAACTGTACGTAATCCCAAAATGCATCCTTTTTAATAGAAACTTTACTGTACGTGCGTATACGAGAGCGCACGTAAAATATGCAGAAATTCCGAGCCCGGACACAGCTTAGTTCCATTTTTCTTTTTTGAGCATCTTTGCGCAATAATACTGCTCCATACGCACCTATGTGTATGGAGCGATTTATTTGCATATGGGGAAAAAACGCGGCGCGCATCCATGCGCAATACTGCTCATGATCAGCAATGGACCTGTTTTCAATGCGGCATGAGCGCTGGTGTACTCAGCATCACTTTTACAAAGCGATGCACTGAGGGCTTGTTCACACCAAGCGTGTTCCAGGAGCAGAGCAGTTACAGAACGGATCAAAACTGAGTCCAATGTATTCCTAATGGTATTTTGGGCTCTAGTTCACACCGCAACGTTCAGTTCCAGAGCATGTAAAAAAAATTGCAGCAAGCCCTATTTTACCTGCTCTGGAACGCATGCAAATACATCAAAAACACATGCAAACGCCCTGGAACGCACTGAAAGCCCATTCTAAACTAAAAAAAAATATTTTAAACCAAAAACGGCGTTGAACGCATCAAAAACGCAGTATAACGCACTGCGTGTGCAGAAACTCATGCATATCTGGTCTGCATTTGGTGTGAACAAGCCCTAAGAAGTTTGGGATTGTATCCTGTAAGATACAGGAATAAGTATCATACAAGCTGCCCTGTAAACCATTAGGCCTCATTCACACGCAATGCAAGAGCAACATTTCACACATTTGTAAATGCGTATATATGTAAACTGTACGTAATCCCAAAATGCATCCTTTTTAATAGAAACTTTACTGTACGTGCGTATACGAGAGCGCACGTAAAATATGCAGAAATTCCGAGCCCGGACACAGCTTAGTTCCATTTTTCTTTTTTGAGCATCTTTGCGCAATAATACTGCTCCATACGCACCTATGTGTATGGAGCGATTTATTTGCATATGGGGAAAAAACGCGGCGCGCATCCATGCGCAGCGTATTATACGGTAGTGTGAATGAGGCCTTAGTCCTTTTTTAAATGTAGCTTTGAAATGTAAAAATGTGAATGGTTCCTTGTAAACTGTTTCTGGAGAGTCAGAATGCCCAAATGCTTCTGCCCCCATTTATTTCTCCCCGACCCATCGTCCTCCTCAATAGGGAGCTGGATTCCTTAACCACCTTCCGTCCATGGCCGTTTGTGAACGGCCAGATGGAAGTCTGCTCAAAACAACACCTTTTTTATTAGGCCCCGTTCACACCGGGGTAATTCGGCCGCACGGATCCGCCGACATGAACAATCCCATACATTGCTGTGTGGACCGGTCATGTGACCGCACGATCCGAACCGCCTCCCATCCGAATTGCTCCCTGAGCTTTTTTTCTGCGCTGATCAGCACGGTTTCCATGCAGCTTTCATTAGTGTATGACCAGTAGTTATATTTGCAAAATTCTTCGAATATATTAAACAAATGTGTATTAAAAGTTGTAAATACCTTTTTATAAAGGTAATAAGTACGGAGATCAAGTGCTGACCATCTGAAAATGTTAATTGCTGGACTGTCAATTTCGGTTTTCTGGTTTTGGTTCTTTGTGAGTGACCTGGACAAGCATGCAGCAATTGAAATATCATCTTTCCACCTGCCTACTTGTTTTCTGGATTAGAGACTCAGAAAGCATTGAAACAAGAAGATCCGCATGACAGCAAGACAACCTACATTTACATAACTAAGCCAGCAATGGCAACCAACTATACTTCTATTTTACCACAATAGTAATGGATGCTTAGCACAGACTTCAAGCAGAGTTGTTGAGTCAAAGAACAGTGAACTTAAAGAAGAACTCCAGGAAAAGTAAAAACTTACCTTTTTATAGTGGGACTACCCTTGCACTGCAAGGGTTAACTGCTCATTTTGTGTAGCTGTATTAAGGTGCCTATACACCTTGCGATTATCGGTCGCAAATCGTCCACGGATGGTCTTACGAACGACAATCGATCAGTAGATGGGAACCCGACAATTTTTTTTTACTGTACTCCGGGCTGCATTTCCTCAAACGGCCCAGGCTGGAAAACTTATTGAATCGTACAAAAATCGATGGATTAGTGATGTTTTCGTATGAAAAAGAACGCAGCAAGAACACTGCACATGATCAAAGGACAAATCCTTTCTAACGATCGACGCAATTTGGCCAGTTAGTATTGCTAACGAACGATTATCGAAACAACATTGGTCTGTGCGCGATGGGCTATTTGAGCTAGAATCGAAAGGGGGTTCTTGGCAGCAAGGAAAATTCCCGAATGATAATCGCAGAGTGTATGGCCAGCTTTACTTGCCTGATCCTTGTTCTCTTCAGGCTGCTAGACTGGTCCCCTCAGCCTCTTCCTTGCCTGAGCTCCAGTGTTCTAAGGTCCATTGTCTTGCATTAGACGTGAGGGCGAAGATGCCGTGAGACATTCCATAGCCAGAGCGGAGGTGATTGCCGACCGCTGTGGGAAATCCCACTGCAAGGGTGAACTTTTTTCTTAGCTGGAGTTCTCCTTTAAAGATGTGAGATAAAGATAGGTCATACTCCAATGTATATACTCTGTAGACAAAAAGGTTTCAAAGAAAAGTAGGGCTGGTAATGATGAAAATTTCCGTGTTCGATTAATCAAAATTTTTTTTTCATCAATTAATTTCGATTAATTATAACGCACATACAGATCCAACTGCATTGGCCTATACACATACAGGCAACAATGAAGTAATAAAATGAACTAGGATCACACTAATCCAGCATGTTATTAATCTGACGTGCCCCACTCAATATGGCCGCCGCTTCAGTGGGGCAACTCAGAATAATAACGTGCTGGATTACAAATGTATTTACATAGTATAGTAAAACAGCAAAGCCCTAAGGGTGATTTAAACATAAGTATTAGCTTAATATTTGAAGTAGCCGCAGCATTCCATTTCATGTAAGGACCTGATTGCAACATAATATCAGTAAATTTCAATGGGCACTTTTCTGGGAGCGAGATGGGGGAGGGGGGTTAATGGAGAGCCACATAGTGCATATATATAAGTTTAAGATAAGGCAGAAGCTTGGTGCTTCTTGGGCAAACTCCCCGGCCCAAGTGGCTCCGTCGGCTAACGAAGGGAAGAGGGGTGGAGTCCGGTGACGTCACGGACATCCACGTCACCAGACTCCTCCCCCCTTCCCTTCGTTAGCCGACGGTGCCACTTGGGGAAGGGGGCAGGAGTCCGGTGACGTCGATGTCTGTGACGTCCCGGATCTCCGACGGGACTCCCGGAAGCCGGCGGAGAGGTGAGTCTTTTCATTTTCGATCAAAATTATTTTAATCGATCAAAAAGTTTAACGATTAATCAAGGAATTAATCGTTAATTTTCCCAGCCCTAGAGAAAAGTAATAAATACATAAACCCAAAGACCTGATGGAGCACTCTGTCTTTTTCTACTGTGTTTCTATTATTACATCTTTTTTTGTGTCCTTTTACGCAGATGGCTGCTCTATCGCCTGGCCACAGGTTGGTGTCAGAGAAAACTTGGGGCTGAGTTAAGAATCGGTAGCCTGGGGTTCTTGGGGTTCCAGAACATCAGTTTGAAGTTTGGAAAGCAACAGCAACAAATCTTGGTGAGAACTTGATGAGCTTCCTGCGAAGTGAGCTGAACAGGAACTGTTTTTCCTCTGTTCCTTTTGCATCCCCTGGGTGAAAGAATATTCAGTAAATAAGGAAAATCGCTTTTGAGCATGTCTTAACCTTTTCCTGTTTCCTGATATGTTGACATTGGCAGTGGTGTTTAATGGAACAGGTCACATATCTGTTCAGTTCTCTTAATACAAGTTGCAAAAATATGTCTGTTTTTCTAAAGCTGGTTAGGTGGCTAATCTGCAAATGAGCTGATTTCCGTCACCTGATGCCCAGAATAATTTGTTGTGTTTGCCCACTCTGCTTTGAAGGGTAAGCACACTGTTAAAAGTTTTCAGAATTCAGCTACAGCAACTTTCCTAATATAACCATAAACCTCAGATGCTGAGAAGTTAGTTTTAATAATTAATAACAACCTGCCCATTTGTGAGGTCAGGTACTGATGTTGGACGAGAAGGCCTGGCTCGCAGTCTCCGCTCTAATTCATCCCAAAGGTGTTCTATTGGGTTGAGGTCAGGACTCTGTGCCGGTCAGTCAAGTTCCTCCCCCCCAAACTCGCTCATCCATGTCTTTATGGACCTTGCTTTGTGCACTGGTGCACAGTCATGTTGGAACAGGAAGGGCCATCCCCAAACTGTTCCCACAAAGTTGGGCGCATGAAATTGTCCAAAATGTCTTGGTATGCTGATGCCTTAAGAGTTCTCTTCACTGGGACTAAGGGACCAAGCCCAACCCCTGAAAAACAACCCCAAACCATAATCCCCCCTCCACCAAACTACACTTGGCACAATGCAGTCAGGCAAGTACCGTTCTCATGGCCAGACCCGGACACGTCCATCAGATCGCCAGACAGAGAAGCGTGATTGGTCACTCCGGAGAACATGTATCCACTTATCTAGAGTCCAGTGGTGGCGTGCTTTACACCACTGCATCCGCTGACCTGGCTCTGTCATTTTACATGGCCTACCACTTCGTGGCTGAGTTGCTGTTGTTCCCAGTTGCTTCCACTTTGTTATAACACCACTAACAGTTGACCGTGGAATATTTAGTAGCAAGGAAATTTCATGGAACACCTGAAACCAATGATTTGGAGGGATGTCCCAATACTTTTGGCAGTAAAGTGTATATGATTATATTCTGATACTTGCTACGGAGGGGGTTGAATTCTGAAGGTTCACTTAAAACAAATCTGTTAGGAGTAGGGTCTTTACCAGCTAGTAGGACCAGACATCTTAAACTGTTAAGGTCCCCACACACCTTACGATAATCGTACGATAATCGTGGGAAATCCCGAGATCGTACGATTATCGTAAGGTGTGTGGAATCCGTGCGACCTCTACTACTGTAAGGTCGCACGACTTTTAACTTACGGACATGTTCGAAAACCCGCCGAGCATCGTACGATGTTTGGCGGGTTTGTGGCATGTTCGTACGATAAAAGCCGTACGGGCCGGTGTGCGCAAGAGCACATTGCCCGTTCGGCATTGCGGTCATCGGAAGCCCGCCCCTCAGCGGGCGGGTTCCCACCTTGGACGGGCAGATCGTACGAGCTTTCAATAAGCATACGACCATCGCAAGACAAAAGTCTTGCGATGGTCGTAAGGTGTATGGGCACCTTTAGAGTAATGGGAGCCCTACTGTATATACCAGTGATGGGCAACTCCAGCCCTCCAGCTGTGCTTTAACAACAAATCCCAGCATGCCTCTGGGAGTCATGCCTGTAACTGTCAGTCTTGCATCTCCTCATGGGAATTGTAGTTCCACAGCAGCTGGAGGGCTGGTGTTGCCCACCCCCGCTGTAAATCATAACGCTGGCCATGCACATGGCAACTTTCATCCAGCTTTCAATGACAAAATTACCAAACAGATCATGGCAGCCCAATCAGAATTGGTGTTGGTAGATGGTCCTGATCAATTTGGTTGTTGTAATTGAATGCTGGTTGAGAGGATTGACATTCACTGAAGATTGCCATTGTGTTTTGGTTTTTTTTTTGTGCTTTTTTTACTGAAAGGGTTTTTGTGAAATTGCTGTGGTTGTATTTTATGGTCAGTGGAGTTTTGCTTAGCAGACTTCTTCTATAAAAAGACAGAAATGTTAATGTTTTTGTTCCTTTCAAGTAACATTGAAATCAGCGCTGTAATGTTGTTTTTTTTCTCTAAAGGAAATTGATAGTATCTGGGTGTCTAGCAAACTACTGAATCATGAGTTACAGTAAGTACTTCATATTCCTTGTAGTTCCTGTGTGTCCTGTCTTTCCTGGTATTATCCTTCTCATTTGAGCTTGTATCTGTGTTGTGTGTACTGTATGGTGCTTGTTTGGGGTTTTTATAGAGAGCACTTCTTCTTTTAACCAGTGGTTGCAACACACGTGTTACGGCATGTAGCCATTGTATTCGTGTGTTCATCACAAATTCTATTTTTGACTAGATCCTTTTTTAAACCTCCACAGCATAAACATTTCCAGCATAAACAAAATCAAACAAATATGTGTAAAACAAAGAAAAAGGACAAAACCAGGGGCACATTGTTGTAGCGCATATGATAAAGCACCATTAAGCAGATCCCGTATTAACCAAAAATAACATTAAAGTAAAAATACAAAAAAATATCTAGACAAGGGGTAGGCAACCTTGGCTCTCCAGCTGTGCTGAAACTACAAATCCCATAATGCTTCTGCCCCTGAGAGTCATGCCTGTGGCTTGCAATTCCTTATGAGATTTGTAGTTTTAGCACAGCTGGAGAGCCAAGGTTGCCTACCCCTGATCTAGACTGATAGTTGAACCATTTAGACCAGGGGTAGGCAACCTCGGCACTCCAGCTGTGCTTGAAACGTCAAATCCCGCCATGCCCCTGCCTCTGGGAGTCATGCCTGTGGCTGTCAGAATCTTGCAATGCCTCGTGGGATTTGTAGTTTTTCCACAGCTGGAGTGCTGAGGTTGCCTACCCCTGATTTAGACCACAACTGAGAGTGCTTGTTGTCCTCTATATTGATATGTTATGCGCTCATACTCTACAATTCTATCCAGTTCAGAAATAAATACTATTTTTCAGTCACTACATTGCTCTGTGTTTCGGAGAGGTGCGTGTTCGAACAGACCTTCAAGGATTATCGCTGCCTCGCCAGAGAACCCCCAGCACTTCGTCAGAGGCTGCCCCCGGTGGAAGTGGGGAAGGAACAGCAATTAGCCCATCTGTGTTAAAAGTCTTATCACAAGTAAGTTGTATTTGTGGTTCTGAGAACGGTAGACCGCTCCATGTATGTATGACAGACCTATCACATTGCTGCTTTTTCCATGTTTTGGTTGATGGTAAATCTGAGTGAAGTGAGTTTTGTTTCCTATTCCTCCCATAAAAAGATTAACGTTTGCCTTTTTTCACACAGAGATTTTTTTGAAAGTGTCTGTGTGCGATGAGTGCATCTGTTGCTCATAAGTTCTCTTTATTGCCCCTTTTACAAACTCTACGCTTCCAATTTCTCTAGTGATAGTGACAAGTGAGGGCGCGATCACATCAGCTGATACACTAAAACGGACCTGGATTAGTGTTTGTTGTGTAGGGGCTGCGAGAAGTGGTGCTTTGCATTGATACAATTTTTTTAAACTTTATTACAATGTTACAAAATGATATTTCATTCACTTCTATGCAGTGCAGCAGTGGGGTAACATAAAGTGCAGTGCATCTGCATTTTTATGCAACACACCTCAACGCAGCAAGATGATGGGAACAAGACACATACTGTAGAAAGCAGTTGTTTTCTATATGCACTGGCATTTAGCCTGTGCTAATCTGAGCAGATAAATGCAACTCAACTGATGTGGTGTAAATGAGCCCTGATGCTTGAATTGGGTTCATGTCTGGCAAAGCCTGGGCTGGGGTTTTCTCTACCCGTAATCCATACTATTCCTACTTCTGATCTGTCAGCACTGGTTTGTTTACTGACTTTCTGCCACAGGTCATGCCATATACAAGCTTATATTTTTAGTGCCCAACACAACTCTTAAAGTGACACTAAAGTTAAATCTTAAAAATATATTCAAGTACCTCAACTAATAACATAAATGTAGTTTATTTGTTTATTACTCGGCTGTAGATCCTCAAATCATCTCTGAATTGGTGCTGACACTGTTCTTCCTGCTGTAGGGTGGCTACTTTTGTTCCCCTTGTATGTTGTAAAGTAGCCACCGCTTCAAGCTCGCTCCCTTGATGGACTACAATCTCACGTTTAAGTTGTTTTGAGTTTGAGGATCTACAGCTGAGTGATACACAAATAAGATACATTCTTGTTGCTAGTGAAGGTACTTGACTGCATTTTTAAGATTGAACTCCTGAGTTTAAAGGAGAACTATGGGGTCAGTGTTTTTCCCCATAGTTCTCAGGGTAACGGGAGGACACAAACTAGCATCCTCCCGTTACCCTAAGCTCAGTATACCGCGAGATACAGCTCGCGGTATACTGAGACGCCGGAGCGGATCACGACCTGGACGTCGAGATCCGCCCAGCTGCGTGAGTGACAGCTGGCTCTGCCTATCTAGAGGCAGAGCCAGCTGTACCCGCCCCCTCCCCCGTCCGTTCTTCTAGTCAGCGCTGGCAGATCGGAGAGGGGAATCCAGCCCCTCCCCCTGTCACGGCAGAGAGCCGTGACAGGATCGAGAGGTGAGCGAACCCTCCCGATCTACTGAGCCGACCTGTAACAGTCTCATTGTCACAGGTCGGCTAGAACTATGAGGTGAGTGGAAATCACTCATCTCATAGTTCTCCTTTAATGCCACTTTAATATTGGGATACCCTATTAGTCTAATGCTGCCTTTGTGCCTGAGGTGGAATCAGTTGCAAAGACCTTGTCACTGCAATCTCTGCGAGATGCAATATGCTGAAGGGTAGTTCAACTATATGGCATCTACCCATATCTGAAATCTGAGTTCTAGATGAATTTATGCTTTAATCAAGGTTATAAACCAAAGAGTATATTCTAAGATTATTGTTATCAAGGATTTACATTTGGTATTGTGTGCCATGTCAATATCAAGAATATATTTGCTATGACCTGTCTTGGACCATTGTGCTCGTCAGGCTCTTAACATACCTATTACCTTGGAAAGGAATGATCAGATATTGCTTAAAAGAGAACTATGGGGTAAGTCTTTTTCCCCATAGTTCTCTTTAGGGTCACGGGAGGACATAAACTAGCGTCCTCCCGTGACCCAAAGCTCAGTATATCGTAGGTCACGGTATACTGAGAGCGCCGCAGCTGGGACGGATCCCGACATTACTGTCGAGATCCACTCAGCTGCGTGAGTGACAGCTGGCTCTGCCTATCTAGACATGATCGAGAAATGAGCGAGTGACTCTATGCGTTCACTGACTTCCCGTTCTATTGAGCCAGCGTGTGACAGTTTCATTGTCACCCGTCGGATCGAACTATGAGGATGAGTGAATTTCATTCACCTCATAGTTCTCCTTTTATTATTACATAAGAACTGTAGGCAGAGTTTGCGTGTATTCAGTTGAACTGAATTTTGCAAAGTTTTAAGGCAGATGGGCGCTATAGGAACATTTTCTATGGATGCCTTAAAGTGGTTCTAAACCCTCCCGTTTTTTTTGCCTATATCTACTGCTATTAAGCAGTAGATATAGGCAAAAAGTAAAAAAAAAAAAAGAAAACGCTTTAACAGCGCTTAACACTTATCTTGTTTCGGCCGCGCGCTCCCGTCCGAGAAAACGAAACTGCTCCGCCGGCCGCAAAGCATCTTGGGGCGGGCGCATGCGCAGTTCGGATTCTCGGCCAGGAGACGAGCAGAGACGCAAGGTAAGTCTATGGATGCGTGCACCCGCATGCAGGCACCGCTGGATCGGAAGTGCCTGCAAGGACAGAGGAGTCAGCGCTGGATGGGAGAGCCGCCGCACCGCTGGAGGGACAGATGAAAACATCAGGAAAGAAGATCGGATTAAGAGACATAATTTAAGGTAAGTGCTGACATTAGCATGGGGGGGAGGGAAATTGTTTTAATCCTTTAATGCCACTTTAAGAGCATCATTAAGGAGAATGATTAAAAAAAATAATAAGCAGAAATGTAATATCTACTTCATCTTATTAATATTTCTCTGTCTTGCAGTTGCTGTCTATACATCTGGACACTGTGAATATTATGGTTCTCAATGTGGCCGAGTCTGAATCTTTGTGGCATGTCACATTTACGAAGATAAATGTAATACTGGACAGCGATGGGAAAAAGTAGGCACATACTTATAACTACTAGTATTGATATAAGGCAAGATACCTAATGCATGCACTTGCAGGATATGAAAGGAATGTAACCTTTGTGGATCTTTATCAGTTAATGTGTACAGAAACTCCTCTGCCATCAAGACACAGTGGATGGATTGTTGTTGGAGGGTTGGCCATTGTATTTTAAAGAAGAACTCCAGGCAATCAAAAAATTAACCCTTGCAGTGGGGCTACTCCCCCGGACAGCACGGGTTAACTGCTTGTTGGTCTCAGTGCTAAAATTAAGAAAATATGCTCACCCGATTCCTCGGTCCTGCTCGGCTGCTATATCAGTCCATGGGGCCTCTTCTCCCCCTGGTTCCGGCGGCCTAGAGACCCGTGACGTCGGTTGGATATGAGGACAGCGAGGGACATTCCACCTTCAGAGTGGAGTGGGAGAGATGTGAGTGGTCACCACCGCAGGACCGAGGATCAGGTGAGTATTTTCTTCCTTTTAGTCCCTAGCTAAAAAAAAAAGAAAAAGCAGTTACCCCTTGCAGTGGAGTTGTAGCCATATAGATTGCTTAGAGTTCTTCTTGAATGAATGGGGGGGGGATTGCATTGAAAATCTGAGGAAACCTGTTAAATCGCTAGGGTTCTTATTGCATTATTGATTGTTGTCTGAACCTTCTGAAATTACAGCATATAACCAAATTACCAAAAACAGAAACATTTTTGTCAAGATCAAGAGATTAGTTTGCGTAAGGCAGCTTAAACTACATGTGAACACAATCCCTAAAATCTCATATAATCTTTAACATTTTATTGCAATTATTCAGATTAAATTTTTAGGGTTTTTAAAATCTAAAGCTGTCATTTGATATACCTGGTAGTCCTGCTTGTTCAGGCACTTTGAGTCATAGGATGACCATGCTTTTTCCATTTCCCACTTGCTCTCTGCGTCGTTGCCTTGTCACATGTGTTTCCGATGGGAACTATTCGTGACCATGCTGACACTCATTTTAAAGACTTGTTTCTCTCCTGTCACCATCAGGAAGTCTGTCCTGAGCAAGAATATACATATGCATCTGGAGACAGTTGCATGTAGACAGGAAAGGGCTGCAAAGAAGCTGCAGGAGATCAGAAGTAATGAGATTAAAGAAAAAAAAAATGAAAAAACTTGGCTATTGTTTGATACCTCGTTCCATCCAGTTAGGCATTAGATCGATTTTTACTATAAACCTATAGTGAGAGAATACAAAATGCAGGCTGCCACTGCTGATTTCTCTTTCTGAAGTTGTAGGTTACTGAGTCTGAGTCAGGGTCTCAAGTATTGTAGCTCAAAACAGCCATGCAACTAGGATTGTTAGGAGGAGGTTGGCAATGGCAGTTATCCGATTCCTTTATTGTTTCACCTAGCTGTCTGAGTCCTGCAATTTCTATGTTGGATAATTAGTAAGAGTTCAGGTCTGCAGTGACCACAGATCAAAGTTGGATTTTGTCCAGCTAGTCCTGCACTCTCCTATGTTGTTTAGGTCAAAAGATGTGTGCGACACCAGGGGGAACAACGTGCACTCTTCGAGTAAACATTTATAGGTGTCTGTCATCAGTAGGGCCATTTATAGGCAGATCTGCCATGTAGAAATAGCAATTACCTACAACTCCTTTTCCCTTTTTTTTTTTTAAGCTGCCTATTTAAGGGGTTAGTTTACCTAGTGAAGGTGCCTCATTAGTTTACAAATTATAGTGCTTTGTAGAGAAATTGAGCTTTTTGATTTCCATACCTGTAGGCTAAGCATGACTTGCCAAAAACAGCATCCTGAGCGATCTGCACCATCTTGCCTGTAAGCCAGGACTGATTGTCCATTGAGCAACGCCACCTCATCATGCAGGAATGAACGTGGAAAACGCACTCTCCCTCATCCAGAAATTCGCATATGCGCAGTTCATTCTCCCTCACAGCACATTTCGGATTTGTGGATGAGAGAGAGTACTCGCACCATCCATCCTAGCTTCTATGCAGGAAGGCGCGGATTACTCGGGGGGTGCTGCTTTTTTAGCCAGGCTTTGCGGAAGCCCCACTTTGGCCTACAGTTATAGAAATAAAACAAAGCACTGTGATTTGCAGACTAATAGGGGTCCTTGACTGCACTGTAATTTTTAGTAAAGGGTAACTAACCCTTTAAGTATTAGCTAAAGTTTTTTCCAACTTGTGTTCAGTACTCCAAGCACTGCAATGGGGCTTCATATGCTGACTGTAGCTGGAATACTTGTGCTGAATATGTTCAGTAGGGGCCCGCTGAGCTGTTTCTAGACAGATGTTCTAATCCAGGGGTAGCCAAACTCCGGCCCTCCAGCTGTGGTGAAACTACAAATCCCATGATGCAGTCGTGGCTGTGAGAATCTTGCAATGCCTCATGGGATTTGTAGTTCCACCACAGCTGGAGGGCCGGAGTTTGGCTACCCCTGTTCTAAACTATCAGAAGTTGGGTAATCATTTAAAAAACCCAACAGGGCAGGCAGTCACTTACAGGCCTCACAAGTAAAAATGGAATTTGCAGCTGTGAAAAAAAAATCTTTTGGTGTTTGGGTCATCTCCTAAACCTGGGTACACCTAAAAGTCTCGCAGATCTTTCCATCCACACTAGGAGTACGGATGAACGAATCTCCCGCTGTGCACATTGTATTCGAATAGTAGCACCTGCTGCTGTCAGATATTCGAGTAGTGCCTCAAAAGTTTTGTACAGCAACATGCATTTCCATGGTGGAGGCAGGCTTCTGATGTGAAGGGGGACTCTGATGTGAAAGTAGGGGGCTTCTGCTGTGAATTAGATCCTAATGTAAAGGAGGACTCCTGATTAGAAGAGGGAACTCCACTGTGAAGGGGGAACCCCCTTAAAATCCATACCAGATCCCTATCTGGCATAAGGGTCTGGTATGGATTTTGGAGGGGCCATACGTTGCTCCCTACATTTTAGGCTGGGGTGCCTTGAGATTTAGCATATTTTTAAAGGATGACATGACTGAAAAAAGGTTGAGAAATGTTGCTTCATGCTCGGCTATGGCAAACATTTTATTAAATGATCATTTTAAGCTTTAAGTTGTAAATTACAGCCAGTGATGTATTTACTATTGCAAACTTGTTATTTTGTGCTATTTTCTGATTTTTTTTTTTTTTGTTTGCTTTCTGAAGAAAATTTAGGATCGAAATGAAATGAGAGGATAAAAAAATAAACTCGCCACTAAAAGAAAACTTAAGCTGTAACCATTTAAGTACTTTGCTCTAAAATCATGACTGCTTCAAGTATGGATTATTCATGGTGGCTTAAATCCTATAACCTCCTATCATGCAATCAGATTTCAATGTTTCAGTTGTAGGTGTCCAGTGTTGGTTTGATTCTGGCACAGAACTGATGGTTTTTACTATATATGTTAGTGGATGAGGCCAACTAAGCACAGACGCGGGTGCATGGAATTAATATTGTCTTTTTGTCTTTCAGGATGGATTACACACTGAGCCTTAACCAACTAACCAGCAAATTACTAAAGAGCAGTAAGCAGGTGAGAAGTTTGTGAAAAGGAATACTAAAGTTCAGCGTAAGCTCTATTATATAACACTGCTGTGTTGTTCATCACTTTACAAAGAACATATTTGCATTTGTCTCTGTCTCCAGAGTTACTACAGCCTAATGCCATTACCATGACTGTACATAAGGAGGAATTGGGTGAAAGTTGGGTTGTGGGAGGAAGCCACAATGATAAAGCAAACCACAAATTCAGGAGCACAGCCCTACAATTCACATTTGCTACCCATGTAGTCACCATGCTATGATTTATATGAAAGCCTAATCAATAACATGGTTTGGAAATAAGCTTATCAGAAATGAAAGAGATTGATATTTACATTAAATGTATTATTGTGGGGGGTAATTTTCTACCTGCAGCTGCTCTTCTGCCTGCTTGGCCACTTTAGCCTCACCCTAGTAGGTGCAGTACCTAATACATGACCTGATTTTGCGGCCAAATATAAGATTAACAATCTTATTCTGTTACTTCTTTCACAATTCCTGCCACACACTGGCCAGGGAGTGGCAACATTGTTTATAGCCAGCAATTTTCCCCCCCACCTCTAGCATGCTCATTGGACTCTGAACCAGCATTCCTACATTGGTTTTGCCTTCCTAAACTCAGACACAGTGTGAGGGCAACCAATCAAGTGTGTTGCATGGGCTTTTGCTGGCACAGAATTTAATGACTAGAGGAAAGGGCAGAGGTATGAGCTCATCAGTCTGCTTCTTCACTGTCTATGCTGGGAGGCCGGGAGGTGACCAAGCTATGTTGCATAAGTGTAGTTGAAAAAGACAGGTCACCAACCTGGCTGTGCTGTCTGGCCTGCCTGTGTATGATATTGCATGTACAGGAAGTTTGACTATACTGTAAATGCTTTAATGAAGTACCCAGGGATTTTATAAAATGTACCCTTCCAGTGCAGCTATCCCTGTACTGCAAGGGTTAAGTGCTTATTTCATTCTAGGGGTGCAAAAAAATAAGATACTCGCATGATCCTTGGTCCTGCTACAGTCAGCACCCGCCTCTCTCCTTCTCCACTCGGACTGTGGTATGTCCCTCGGTGTCCTCACATCTAATGCTAGTCAATGGACCTGCATAAGACTTGATGAGGTCAGCAGTCCTTAGACTGCCGGAGCTTAGGGGAGAAGAGGTTGCGGGCACTGGTCTAGCAGAGAGGTGGAACCAAGGATCAGGTCAGTATATCTTCTTTATTTGAGCCCCTAGATCAAAAGAGCACTTAACCCTTGCAGTGTGGGGGTAGCCCGACTGCAAGGGTTAATTTTGTAATCCCTGGATTTCCACTTAAAGAATAATATTATTTATGTCCCAAAGCTTTTCTGTTAAATGCTTTTTTGTCTTGAACTTGCCTCCTATAATCATTGTTTATCTGGTATGGCTACAGGATGAAGCCTGTCTTGCAGAGCTGTCCCTGGCTCTATCTCTGGAGTGCAGCATCAGGGAAAAGCGCTTGCGTTCAGCCAGTGTAAGGGTGCGCAGCCTACATGCTGAGGTGCATGAAAGTCTCTTCAACAGTGACTTGCTGCAGAGGAAGCTGGTTTCAGCAGTGCAGAGCAACACTGAAGACAGCAGTAACAATGAGGAACAAGCAAACACAGGTTGGTACCAAGTTACTGGATTTGGACACTTCCTGACATTACCTATTTGGATATTGCTTTTGGCATTCTGATCATGTAAAACTGTCCATTCTACAGAATAGCTCTTTTCTGATTACTGTTTGGACACTGTTCTTACTTTAGAAACAGCATGTTTTATTTGGTGCCTCTAATGTATAAAGAGTGCTCTCAAATTTACTGTAGTAAATAGTTTACCTGGGATCATTTGATTGGTTTCATTTGCACTCGCAGGAGATGCTGCACCTCCCAAGTGGTTGCAGCTAGTGGAGCGGCTTCCTTGTAAGCTGGATGTGGGGTTTGAGAACAGCACTGTGGTCCTGTCTATGAACAGCCAACAGAGGTAAAGTCTCAAGGATAAATAAGACTGATATGTTCTGTATGCTGCACATTGGCTTTAGTGAAAATGCTGTGCTTCTTCCTAGACACCTAAACTGGACATTAAAGCTCCTTCAATATTGTTATGTACGTGAGGAGGATCAGTTGCCCATGCGCAGGTTCATTGGCACATCAGAATTGGCTCAAATGACCTCTGAACTAGTAGTGGAAGGTAAGGGGGTTGAATATTTGGAAAGTTAAGTTACGATGCACTGTAAGAGTATAAGCCATATCTGTGCTCCCCAAAAGGTAAACTCCGAGGGATTTCCAAGATAAATTAAAATTTGACTTGCTTTAGTGTCTGTAATCCTGTTTCTCGCTAGGCTTAGGAGCTGAACCTTTTATTTAATGTATAGTGGGAGTAGGGGTGGTCTCCATGTTTCTAGATGCACAAAAGAAGTCGTGAAACAACTTTGTTGTTGTGAATATTCACGAGAAAACCCTTTTTTTTAATTTTGTATTTTCTTCCCTTTTTTTTTTTTTTTTAATTTTAAGAATTCTGAACTTCTTTTAGTCTAAATGTAAGTGTTTCTGCAGTGTATTCGTATTGCTGCTTCATAGAATATTAACAGAAAACATTCTTTTGACAAAATGGGATAATACATTATTAATGGGCGTACAGTTTACCTATGTCATTTAATACTGTAATATCTGTCTCCAATTTCTGTCCAGATGGTCTGCTGTTGTCTCAGAGCCGACAGAGAATTGTCTGCTTGAACCACTTCAAAGCCAGTGTACAGGTAAGAGCCTATTCAGGCAAGAGTAAAAGCCAAATTCAGAGACTATACTATTATAAAGTGTCTTGCAGTTTTTGCTCAATCGTGTGCCACCATCACAGCTTTCGTAATGTCTGCATTGGCTATTAAAACTTACTACCTTTTCCCTAGCTGCATTGCTAGTGTCCAACCACAGAATACGTTTTCTGTACAGCACCCTGCATAGTCCCACCAACAATGAGCTCAAGTAGCATCTGTAGTACATGATCCATACTTTAGGAGACACTGGTGCAATAGACATTTACAACAAAGACGTATTCTTGTCCGTCCCGTTTATTCTGAACAATGAAATCTTGTTAACATGTACATGCTCATGATCAGCCCTCCTAACATTCCTTGCTTGGAAGTTTAAAAAAAAAAAAAAGCCTCCTTTTTAGGTTTGGATAGAGTGGGAAGGGGTAGAATCTCTATAATGCTTATTTCTGTCTTTGATCACACAAGATGCATTTTGGTTACTCTTACTCTTGCTTCCCATCAGGTCACATCCATTGATGTCCAGAGCAATGTAGCTCTCAATACTTGCATCATCCATTACCGTCACCAGGAGTTTTCTCATTGGTTCAGCTTACTGGCACTGAATAGTCAGTTACACAAGAACGCAAAAGCCTCAACCAAAAATAATCGGTGAGCTTTCTGATTATACATATTATTTTTCTTAAGATTATTCCCTTTGTATTTGTTGCTCTTCTTTGAGACCAGTAGCCCACTTCCACCCATCAGCACAGGAAGATGTGATAATATTTGAGGGGGAGTTTTAGTTTTATATGGTGAGCCATGTTCTAACAATAAATTACTCCATAAAAAGAAAACAAACTGTAAACTTTGAACACCTTTTGGTTTAATGCACTTGGAAACGTGTTAAATGTAAAAGTTCAGTTGGGTTTTAAGTATCCTGCTGTTAAAGTTTTAAGGTTATACATTTAGACACATGCTTACTTTCGCATATACCGTTAGTTATCTTTCCATGTTTTGAAGTGATATATCTTTTAATTGTGCTTTCTTCACATACGTGCCCCACTGCTCATCTGACACTTCTGTAAACTGTGCAGTTCTCACTTTGACTTGGTTTTGGGCTGTGTGTGTTTGTATCGGTGTATTTAATATAGAAGTTCATTTATTGCTCTGCAATCAACCAATCCGCTCTCTTTTTTTTCTTTTCTGGGATATCCGTTGGTTGTTAGTGAAATGAGGTGTTCTTCAGGAAGATACTCCATATGTAAAAATGTAACAAGTGGAAGGGGGCTCAGATAGTGAATGGAAGGTTATGGAAATGGGAAGAAGACTGCACAGCAAATATGTTCCAAGTCAACATGCTTTTTAACCTCTTAATGTCGAGGAGGCGTAGGTTAATGCTGTAATTTTGTAAATATATGTGAGTAAAGCCGGGTATACATTTTGTGAGTAAAGCCGGGTATACATGGTACGAATTTCGTCCGGTTCCTGATGAACCGGACGAAATTCGCACAGTGGGTGCCGCTGTCTGCATCCTTCTGCCCAGCATCCCTCGATCAGCTGATCGGAGGAACCAGTTAGAATATCCTCTGCCAAGCGGAGCTTGAAGCCAAACAGCTGCGTGCTCTGTTCGGGTAATCTGACACGGCCGGTGGCTGCTCTCAGAATACAATGCAAACAGCAGGGTCATTCCTCCATCCACACTCTAATGTGGATGAAGGAATCTGCTGTATTTTCTCTGTTCAACCTGTGGGCTGAACAAAGAAAATATAAGCGTGTATACCTGGCTCTAAAGTGCTTGTGTGCAGGAGCAGGAGCATGTACCCACATGGTAGCCTCTGCCGAAGACTGAGCTCTACGTATTAGTAACCAGGCTGTTACTAACCAGACAAACCAGACACTCTGAGTTATTACTGTCATTTTAGTAAAACAAATACTGCTTTATTCTATACATCAGCGTTTCTCTGTTGCTACTGTCAAAGGGCAAAGCATGACAGACCTCTGTACTGCGTGCAAGCACTTTTGTAGCACTCGAATTAAAATAAAAGGGGCACAGTGTCCTGCTACTTTTCAGCTTAGGGTAGAGGACTGAGACTAGAGCAGCCTAAGCCAATGTAGTCTGTGGGAGGCTACCAGCTGAGGTCAGTAGTGGGGAATATCTGTGAGATGGGGAGGGTGATGGTTTGCAGTTGGCTTCAACTTTGTTGAAATTGCAGCTGTAATGTGAAGTTTTCTATTCCTCCAGTCACCAACGCACAAAACTCCCCCATTATGAAAGAAACATTGTATAATTAAAAGATGTGTTGTAAATGGACTTCATTATGTCTGTTTTATTTTTCATTCTATATGTTTCCTTTTAGACCTCTTCCTGTGATATTAGCACCAATCGTTTTCAGTTCAAACATCTCTAACGTCAATGTGTCTGTCCAGCTTGAGGAAGCCCAGCCATTTGCTTTGGGATTTTCATCTGTGTCATTGGGTGAGTCACAGTAGCCTCCTTTTTGATTTTGCTTGGTAGCGTCAGTGACGAAAAATAAGATCATCTGCCGAAAATACTTCAACTTTGTACATATAATACAAAGTTGAAGTATTTTCGGCAGATCTTATTTTTCGATATGTATCGAATGTACTGAAGCAGAAATGTCTTTCTCCTTTTGAGGGGTAAGAAAAGTAAAATTGTTGGGCAGTTGGCTGAGTGCCTGCAATCTATTTCTTTGTACACTCTTTTAAACGAAAAAGGTATACTATAAATCTTTGTGACAAGTTATATACCCATTTTAATGGGTTTCATAATTATAAGTGTGAATAGTAAGTATACAGGGATCCACAGAGAAACAGATCTCCTTTGGAATCTGATCTATAAAGAACAGCAGAATAGTTAAAGCGAGCTGCTGTTCTGTAGGATGCTCTGAGGGTACATGAGCTCTCATTCCACCATCTCTAGGTGGCTTAAATAGACCATCATCTAAGCTTCTGGTCTCAAGGATCGGGTTCTACTCTTTCCTGTCAAGGCACACTGTACTAGATCAGTAAGTGTTTCTTGGACTTTTCAGCATCTAGCATCTCTTTCTAAGATTTGCTCGGCTGTAATCTGGTCGTCTTTTCACATGTTCTACCAGTTTTGGCCTCATCTGATATCAGCTTTGGGCATTAAGTCTCTTAGGTGGCCCTGTAGGCTACATACAGTACCTGGGTTTTGTTGTTTTCTTGTATCAGTTGATTGCTTGATGTGTTACCCACCCTTCAGTTGGACTGCATTTAGAAGTCCCGAAGGTTATAATCTTCTGTTGTCCCTTAATGGAACAAGAAAGAAAATAGGATGTTTATACTTGCAATCCTTTCCTTTAGCGTTCATTGAGTGACTGTGTGCTGATGGTCATGCCCTCGGTACTGTTTTGCATCAAAACTGAGGCATGCTGGTAGTAGGAGGGGTTTTCCTGGGCTGGTGTTCAGTTTTTGGATAGCTAATATTCACTCCTCCAGTAGGTTAGGCAACATTCACATTAGCATTTCTTCATTTAAGTAAACTTTAAACTTTCCAGATCTATTTCTCCTGTGTTTAATTGTACTTGCCTTTTTGCAGTTATAGACGCGTCTGTGTGCATTTACGCATGTTCACGTGCATTTCCATGCATTTAACTGCATTTAGAGTTTGTAATTGGTTCTTGGATTCATAGAATTTAATTTTTTCTAAGCGCAGCTAAACTGAACACACTTAAATGCCCCGTTTGAATAACTATATCTATTTAGAAATATGTTCTAAACGCCAGTGTGAATGAGTCATTGAAGTCTTCCTGTGCCCCTCAATGAACTTGAAGAAAAGGATTTTACGTTTAGTACAGAAATCCTATTTTTGCTTGGAGAAAGGCCAATGTTTATACTGCCTTCTGCTCATGTTTGGATATTCACCTTAGGAGCCAGCCTTGGCAGGCAATTTTTTATTTTATACTATAAAAAACAAATTCTATATTTAGTTTATCGGTGCAGCTGAACATTAGTGTGAAAACAGAATAATCTCTACCATTGTGTTTTCTTCTTTCTTCATTTATTATTTACTGTGATTGTATACATTAAAAGTATCTGAAACTTGTTTTCTTCTTCCAGAGTTCAAGCACCTACGCACACAGAATCTGCACCAGAGGGCTGTTCTGTCTGTCAGTAATCTGTGTTGGAGAGTGGGGAAAGACTCTCACATCCAGCAAGCCCTTCACCCTCCAAATACTCACGTTTGGGGTGAGGCTTGTGTTCTTGACTCCTTTAGCTTACAGGTGAGAGGCAGAATATGAGGTGCCACAGGGTCTACTTTCTAATGGCATACATTATTTTGACTGATTCATGGAAAAGAAAAGTTATCCAGTATAATGTGGCCTGTAGATAATAACTGGTTTGTAGTGCTTTATTTTTCTTATCTGCAGATGTCTATAGTTTTTATTTATTTAAATGATATATGTGTCTGTGTCATATCTCACTTTAGTACTTCTAACACATCGCTTTGTAGTTTATCTCGATCATATATTACTTAAAGCCAGAAAAATAGCACATAAAGTAGTAGTGTCTTACTATCTCTTCCCTTTGCTCATCCAGTTTGAGTGCTGCCCTTACAGGAGGCAAGACAGATGTGGGTATTTTAGCTAAGTATATGTAAAAAATAGGGATGCACCAATATATCGGCCGCCGAAACATATCGGCCGAAAATGGCACTTTTGGCATAATGCTGAAAGTGCCATTTTCTGGCCAATACAGCGGTGCATCCATTCTTTCTCTCCTCCCCTCTGGGTGTTGCTCTGTGTCCCAGCGGGGAGGAGAGAAACTGTCACAGGCGGCCGAGCTCTGCGGGAGGAGATCGATGTGAGCGGCCAGCATCTCTCCTCCCCGCACTGCTCAGCCTCCTGTGACAGATCAGAGGAGATCAGTGTGTGGGCGGAGACAGCCAGCTCCGCTCTCTCAGCCTCCTGTGACAGCGTGTCAGGAAGCAGAGCGAGTACAAACACTCAGTGGTCAGTGATCGCTGAGTGTTTGTAAATAATTGAGGACATGGTATGTTTTACTACCGTGTTTCCCCGAAAATAAGACAGTGTCTTATTTATTTTTTTGCACAAAATAAGACACTAGGTCTTATTTTCGGGGGATGTCTTACCTGGCTGGGGGAGGACTGGACGAGGTCCCGGAAGGCGGCGTGCTGTTGCCAGTCCCAGCTGATGTCGCTTCCATCGTGCATGCGGGCGTGAGCTGCGGGCGTGTGGGCGGGAGCTGCGGCTGGCGTGTAGGCGGGCGTGTGGGCGGGGCAGGAGCTGCGGCCAGCTGGCGTGTGGGCAGGGCTGGAACTGCTGTAGGCTCGCTTGTGGTGGGGCGTGTGGGCGGGGAAGGAGCTGCGGCCGGTCTTTACACAGTTTATGTGCAGCTACCCCGAAAGTAAGACCTAGCGGATTTCTGCAATATAAGACCTACCACCGAACTAGGTCTTATTTTCGGGGTAGGTCTTATATTACAGAAATCCCTGAAGATAGTGCTAGGTCTTACTTTCGGGGTAGGTCTTACTTTTCGGGGAAACCACGGTATATCCTCAATTATGAATGAATGGGAAGTGATTTACATCACCTCCTGTTCATTCATAGTTGAAGTAATAGTAAACATACTCTGTTCTCATGTTATGAATGAACAAGAACACTCATAGAGGATTCCTGTTCACTTATAACCGGGGCTGCAGTAAAAGAGATTGAGGACTCAATCTCTTTTTCTATTTTAAAATGGAAATATCAGGGGTCTGACCCCTAATATTTCCTGAAGCCCCTAAAAGTACAAAATAAAAATATTTAATAAAAAATGATTAAATAAAAAATTAAAAAGTTTCTAAAAATAAAATATTTAAAACATTTAAAAAAGTTAAAATAAAGATTTTTGGTTTCGGCCTGAAATTTTTTGTTTTAGTTTTGAAATTTTCATTTCGGTGCATCTCTAGTAAAAACACAATGATGTGTTACTGGAAATATAGTCCATTTTTTTTCTTGTATTTGTCATTTTTGTATTTTACCGTTAAAAGAGGGAGTTATTTAGATCTATTATATTAATGATAATTCTTTTAATTTTGTTCTTATTTCTAGGGCAGCTACAACGAATCACTAGGTGTAGGCATCATGCAGGCAGACACCCTCCTCATAGACTCCACTGTGCAAGGCCTGCAGATAGAATTCTCAGACACGTGTGCAGAATGTCTCTCACGTGTTCTGAGTCTCATTCCAGTAGCATCTAAGTATCCTGTGTCAACTTCACAAGACCCTCTGTCTCTTACTTCTCCGTGTGGGGAAGCCACCAGCAAGCTGGCTGTTCTCTGGAAGGTGGATGTGCGTGTTGAAGACGTGAATTTGTTTACATTGTCCAACTTAGTGGGTAAGTAGGATCTCTTAATGCAGCTTTTATCGTTTACTCATTTCATAAAGTTACATAGTAGTTTTAGACTAAAATGTTGTGTTTAGGTGTCATACTTGTGCCATTTGTCTAAATCACCTGGAAGAATACCAAATGGAGGTATAATAGTGCCTGGATGCTCAGATATTATTTGTATCCTTGTATACAGTTTTATTCATTTGTTCAATGTTTTATTGGGGTAATTAAGGGCAGAAACTGGTTATTTGGCGGTGATATGTTTTTCCGGCAGACCATTTGAAAGCCCTCAGATCCAAGAAACTAATGTAATGTTCCTGGGATACTCTTTTCTCTGAGTGGTGATGAAACCAGTCATGAATACAATAACTAGGAGCAGCCTTGTGATCCAGCTCGAAGTCAGGAGCCCCACCCCCCCTTCATTCTTTGGTTTTGTAAGAATGGTTTGTTTTATTCTAGGGTTTTTGTTTCCCAAGACAATTTTAGAAGCTATAAAATGAAGGTGATTAACCACTTGAAGACCAGGTGTTTAGATCCCCTACCTGGCCAGGCCATCTTTCAGTGTTCAGCGCTGCAGTACTTTGACTGACATTTATTCCATCACGCAAGGCTGTACTGAAATGAATTTTATACCATTTTTTGGGGACAGATAGAGCTTTATTTTGGTGGTATTTAATCACCACTGCGGGTTTTATTTTTTACTATATTCAGGAGAAATTACTGAAAATTTTGAGAAAAAAAAGTTTTTTTTAACATTATGCTATAAAACAACTAATATTACCCACTTTTTTGGTAAAATATAAAAGACGGGGTCACGTCGGGTAAATAGACACCAAACATGTCAAGCGTAAAAATTGCGCGCACTCGCAAAATCGCAAAAAACTAGCATACCCAAAATTGGCCATAGGCGACGCTTTAAAAGCTTTTACCGCTCATCAGTTTAGTGTTATCAGTGATTGATGGCCCTAGAACTATTGCTCTCATTCCGACGTTCGCGGCGATATGTAACATGTGCGGCACTGGGTGTGTATATCAGGATAGAGTTTTAGATGTAGAGGATTTGGGGCAAAATGTCTATCTTTGGCTAAACCAAGATAGTCTCCTGACTTTCCTTTTAGAGGGGATGGTAAATTTCGATTTTGGAGTATTTGAGACTAAAAGGGGAGTTTAGATTAGAAGGAATATGTGTGCCCAAATAGGTTATAAAAATCAGTTTTCCATTTGAAGGGGAACTTTCTTTGTATGTTGGGTTTTTTTTGGAGAATGATTTTCAGTTGTCCCTAGACTTTAGAGACATTCACCTTTTAAACTTACTAAGGGTCCCCACACACCTTCCGATTATCGCACGAGAATCGCGGGAAATCCCGCGATCGTACTATGATCGTAAGGTGTGTGGAAGCCGTGCGACCTCTACTACTGTAAGGTCGCACGACTTTAAACTTACGGACATATTCGAAAACCCGCCGAGCATCGTACGATGTTCGGCGGGTTTGTGGCATGTTCGTACGATAACAGCCGCACGGGCCGGTGTGCGCAAGCGCACACTGCCCGTTCGGCATTGCGGTCATCGGAAGCCCGCCCCTCAGGGGGCGTGGCTTGCGATCATCGCAAGTACGATCTGCCTATGCAACATAGGCAGATCGTACGTTTTTTTAAGTACCTTACAATCATCGCAAGACAGAAGTCTTGCGATGGTTGTAAGGTGTGTGCCCAGCCTAAGGCTGCCAAAAAGTTTGAATTCCTGTTTGACATTGCAGAGGTTAATGAGTGGCTGTGTAATAAACCTCAACATGTTGTTGTTAGTGGATAGGTTGGAGGTGGGAGTTCCTCTGAGGTGGGGGAGTTCAGGGTGTCACTAACTTCAGGAGGTAGTGCCAGAAGTGCTGTGTTATGTATGTACGAGGCGATTTTCTGCTGGAGTATGTCACGGGGAAGGTTGGAGTTATTAGTTTTGATTTTGTAGAGGTTTGTGTAGAATGATTTGAAGGTATGAGAAATCTTGCTGGGATTTCCCAATGATGTATTAAATTGAGCAAGGTTTGAGAAGATGTAGGCGGTTGTGTATCTGCTGTGTAGTTTACGTGTGAGCAGGGAGACACAGATTCTGTGAATCCTGTCAGGGTCTCAAGACTGCCAAACATTGAAACATGGTTGGATCAGAATATTGGACCAACCTGGGCTATTGGAGACTTGTCTCCAATAGAGGTGAAAATGTGATCTGTTTTTTATGTGTTGTATAGGGGAGAATCAAAACTATATTCTTTGTTATCTGGGTGGGGAAGCCTCCACATATCACAGAGGCGTAGTGTATGAAGTGTATGTTTTAAACCTGTTAGGGGCTGCACAAGAGAGAAGGAACCTACTGGTATACAAGACGAGATTCACATCACCTTTCTCACCTTTCTGTTTAAACTTGTAGAGCCGACTGTCGGCTTTACAACAGAAGCGATCCTGGCGACTTACCTGTCGCCAGATCGCTTCTGCGTCCCGAAGAAGGGGCCGCCCGCCCCCCCCCCACATGCTTCCCAGGCTCCGTTGCCCCTCCTACAGGCCCGGGACCGGCTTCCTTGGTGTCCGCGGGGAGCTGGGGAGGAGATCGATGAACTTCCGTTCATCGTTCTATGGGACCGGGAGCGAGCAGATTTAAGGACCATCATAAGGTCAATGGGTATTGGGTCTAAAAGGAAGAGATTAGGGGAGATGATTAGGTAGGGAGTATTAAATAATGATTGTCAGATAAGTCCCCTAATGGGGAAATAAGGTACTCTAACTAAGCACATACCTGCATTTGTTTTAAGTTGGTGACAGGGTCTCTTTTAAGCAGACAAGCTATTTATTTATTTTTATAACACATATATATTCATATATGGCAATGCAATAATATATGTAGTTGACTGTGCTGTGATGTGGATGTATTACTGGCTGTCTTGCATTATTCAAGGTGCCTCTCAGGTGAGATTAGACCTGCTTACTCTGGTGGGAAGTGCGGAAAGCTGCAGTCTGAGCCTGCAAGGTGTGGCCTTATCCCTGCTGAAATCCATCACTGAGAAGATGGAACCATGCTGCAAATCCCTGGACATTAGTGAACCACTACTCTATTTCTCCATTATGTCCCTGTCTTTTTGCACTACTACCCATGAATTAAAGGTAGGCTGAGCTCTGCTTATTAGATGTATTTGTATTAATTTGTTTTCCGTTGTAAAGTAGCCATCGCCCCAAGCTCACTTCTGTGGACTACAATCTCATGTTTAGTTTACTAATTTGTATTGAAGTTATAGTCTATCACAGTAGCTTGCTTGGAGCGGTAGCTACTTTTACAACACACACAAGGACCATGGGGAACAAAAGTAGCCACCCTCCAGAAGGAAGGACAGTGTCGGCACCAATTCAGAGATGATTTGATGGTCTACAGCCAAGTGATACACAAATAAGATACATTTCTGGTAATAGTTAAGGCACCTGAATGTATTTTTGAGATTTAACTCTTGAGTTTAGGGTCACTTTAATAACTGTTGAGATAAGATGTCAGCCATACCTTGAATGCATAGTTTTCATTTAGTCAGCTGATGCATGGATTTGCAGCGCTTTGTTTTCAGTCAGTCAGCTGACTCATTTGCTGAGTGGCTGGACTTGCTTTGATTACAGATAATACAAAATACATTTTTTGAAACATTAAATCATATTTATATTACTACTGCACTGTGACTCTGTTTTCTAATGAGATGTTGATTCTTCTATTGTCAACTTCGGTCTAGTTTAGATTCCATTCAGAGCAAACCAAAGCGGAAAGCGGGGTTCCTTTTGGCTTTATTTCTAAGTTGAGTTTCTGTTATATGACTACATTTTTTTTTGTAGCAAAGCAATTCAGATTAGTATGGTAAAATATAAAGAGGAGACTAGAACATAACCAGGTACACGGAAAGTGTAAATATGAAATGGTTACATATTTACCTCCTAAATAATTGCATCACTTCACTTAAAATGATTATATTACTATGTAAGGTCTGTAATATATGGGCTAATTGGATGTTGCTCTTGGTTCAAGTATTCATCTCTCTTGTTTACAGGTGCAGTGTGGTGATGAGCTGCTTTTGCACTGGAGTCCCTGGGATCATATGTACTTGTATCAGCACACTCTGTCTACATTGCAATGCAAGGATCTACTGTTGACAACCTTAGCCAAAGGAACCCAGTCTGTGGAGGCAGCTAGAACTCACTCTGGTGCTTGTTCACCCCCACAAGGTCAAAGTCCAGTCACTGGTAGCCCAGGTGTTTATCGAAAGGGAATACAGGTTACTGTAGATTTGAGCTCTGTGAAACTGAGAGTCACTATTACTAAGGACAACCATTTTCTGTTCATGGCTCGGAACATCTGGCTCAATCAGCATGGAGGCTCTCTTCAGCTGCGCTCCCCTGAGATTACAGTAAATGCAGATGGGCATAAAATCTTTCTTTTAAAAGACATTGATGCACAAAGAATATCTGAACTGGAAGAAATGTTGCTACATCGCAGCCATTTCAACACCCGTCTCACAGAAAGGAACCGAGCCTGGGTTCTGGCTCTTAACAGTGTTTCCATGGAGTTTCCGCATCGCTTTGACTTCTCATGCGTACTTGATGAGGCCATAGGGGTTCAAAAATGGCTTAAAGGACTCCATCGCTCACCTCGGACTGGGCCGGAACCTCTACCACCCGATTTGGTGTTCAGAGTCAAACAGTTTTCTTTTGCATTCTTGGATGATGTCTTTGAAGTGAAACTGAGGGACAATTATGAGTTGATGAAGGATGAGAGTAAAGAGAGTACCAAAAGGTTACGGCTACTCGATGAGAAAGTGACTGCTCTCAGAAAACAACACGGGGAGCTGCTACCAGCCAGGAAAATTGAGGAGCTTTATTCATCGCTGGAAAAGAAAAATATAGAGATATACATCCAGCGGTCCCATCGCCTTTACGGCAATACTCCCATGAGAAAGTCTTTGCTTACCTGGACCATCTCTGATCTAGAAATAGTAGCCTTGGCTGATGAGTCTCTTCATGGACCAGACAAGGTGCTGGAGAATATGAAAGACATTGACAGTATCAGTCCTTTTCCCTCCGAGGGCTTGTCTTTAGTTATTCAGTGGTGTCGCATGATGAAGTGCTCTCTTAAAACATTTAATGGTGAGTGTCACCTTAAAACTGGACTCCAGTTTGTCTTTCATTTATTCCCAGCATGTGTGGAAAACTGCTGTCCTTGCAGTGCTCACCTTATCTCTGGGGCTGTCCCCTGCAGACAAATTACTTGATCCAGTACTGCTTCTCTTCTGGCTTGAATGATGGCCAGCATCATTCAACCCAACTCTTGTGAGCATCACAGGAGAATGCTGACGAGCAGTGCCATGTCATTATGTAATGATGTGACACTGTTCTCTGCAGCATTCAGGGCTGCCCACCACCAGAGAAAGAGGACCTATGACATCATGCAACCGAACTGAAGACACCTGGGAAAAAGCTATGTATTTTCATTTAAAAAACAAAAAGAAGAGGGGTGCTACAAGGAAAGGGGTGAGGGAAACAAGATAAACAGTTTATGCTGGAACATTTAGGTGGGGAGAGGAAAAGTTTTAGGATACATTTGGGTATTCAATATAGAAATAGAAAAAAAGTGATGTAGGCACCATTTATGAGTGTTCCTAAAATAAAAAAATAAAAAAAAACCTTTTATTAATAATTCAGAAATGTAAATATCTAGAAAAAATGCTGCACACCATCCACCATTTAAAAACAGAACAATGATGTTCACAAAGACTGCCTAAATGTATCCCCTAAATGTTCCTAATACCCCCCAGAGATAAAGCTGCTAGACATTCTGGCACAATAAAAAGGATCTGTGTGTATATATAGCTACTGTTCTAATACTTTATTAAATGACAGCAAGTCCTTCTTTAAGCCTAACTGTAAAGTCTCTTTTCATGGCAGTAGGTAGTCATTTTCTCCCAGAAATGTGTGGCCAAGCGAAGTCCATACACTGTGCCGGGCCTTTACAATGTTCTATATGTAAAATTTTATTTTGGGGGGATTTGTAACTACCTTAACCAGCTGCCGTCCGCCCGTAGAAAAAAAACGGACGGACGGCAGACTCACATCAGCGGGTTGCGTACCAGGTGACATTAGGGGTCCTAGAGACCCCTAATGTCTCCATAAAGAGGACCTGTCCGTGTGCCTTTGCTAATATATAGGGGGACTGTATCCCCCTATGTAATAGCAATAATAATAAGTGTAAAAAAAAATAAATGTCAGTCAAAGTACCGCAGCGCTGAATAGTGAAAAATGGCCTGGATGGGAAGGGGGTTTAACACCCCGGACTTCAAGTGGTTAAAGAGTAATTACACTTTTGTTGAGAAAAAAAAAAATCTATCCCCTCTGGGTGATCCGTGTACATTGTAAGGCCCCTTTTAGACGGCCGCTTTGATCGGGTCTGCCTGTCAGTTTTTTAGGCAAACCTGATCGGATGCCCAATACGAGTCTATGGGCAGCCGCATACCCCCGGTTCCGGCTTGGGCCAAAAAAACAGACGGAACAGCGTTCCATTTCGACGGACCAGATCATGCCAGATCGGGTGTAATTTGATGTAAACTGACACATGTCCATTTACATCAGATTCCCCATAGATACACATGGGGTCCAGCAGTTTTGGTGACATCCGATCTGTACAGCTCTAAACAGGAGGGGATCTGTGCATGGATCGTCTCCTGATCAGCCCATGTGAAAGGGGGATAAGGATTTTTACAAACTTTGTTGCAGTTTCTTACCTGTTTCTGTTCTGAGGAACAAGCTATTTGTTGCAGCATGTCTTTTCCAAACTAATCCCAGAGGGATTGTTCACACCATGTCCGAACCAGAACGTTTTTTGTCTGCCCCAAAAATGCATCCCAATGTATTCCTGGGCTCTGTTCACACCAGTGCACTTTGTTCTGGTGCAGGAAAAAAAAATACTGCATGCACGATTATATACGATCGAACCGTACTGGAACGCAGGGCACTGCGATACCACGCGTTCTGGTGCAGGTGATCACACTGCAAGCGGTAGGTGTGTCTGCGGTGCCATTAAAATGAATGGCACCACCACGTCCCCTCCCGCCCCAGAGCACGAGGAAGCTTTGTTTATGTGATCCAGCACTTTCATCCCACGGGACTGTGCGATGAACGCTCTGGATGGTGTGAATGGGCCCTTAGGAAGTGTCTCACCAAAAATGAAATTCCTGTTGCAAGGGATGCCAGAAATGATACTTGTATCTTCAGCCAGCCAATCACATTTCTGGGGTGTTCAGTACACTAATAGTGTACCGAACGCCTCCAGGTCACCATATTTAATTGAATTGTTTTTGACAGGTTTAGAACATTTACAGCAGCTACAATTTTAAATGGAAAGGTATTTTTAATAACCTTAAATTACAAAAGGGATAAATATATATGCTGTAATAATGTTTTAAAGATTTTTTCATTTTTATATTAAGTGGAGTTACCCTTTTAGGGTTGAGGGGCTCCCTTTTCTGGGAAAAAATGCCAACTCCAGGTCCCACAACTTTTACTATATTAAATGTATGTGAATTTTGGTAATGCCTGGACATACTTTGAGTGACTCATTGTGGAGAGACGGAATTCTACATTTCAGTGACGTAATCACTTCAGTTTACTTCTATGTTCACCATTCCTATGCTGGAACTAAAATTATCTTTGCAAAAGCTTAATGTGCACACTGCTCTTATACAAGTCCACGGGCAGTCTTCATTTTTTTGTTACTTAGTGGAATAGAAGCGCCTTTAATAACCGATTTGTATTTACAGATTTCTAGCATGTGAATTATTTTAAAGCCATTACAAACACCTCTTTTTCTAAAGTAAAATGGTCTGTGAGCAAAGCAAATGTAGGTAAAAGAAGATTTCCTTTGTAACTGGCTATTGATTTGAATTTTTTATATCCATTCATTTTTAGTAAGAATTCGGGACTACCCTCGATATCTTTTTGAAATCCGAGATTGGCATCTTTCGGGTAGACTGCTTGGGGCTGAACAAAGTGGACAAGCCAGTGCACGGAGAAAACAAGTCGTTAAGTTGGGAGCTCCCTGGGGTGATTCCGTTGTAGAGAGGAACATGCCACCCCTCAAATTCTTCTATGACTTTCACTGTGAGTAGTCATTTTCAGTATCTGCCATTTTCACAGTAGACTGTTATTATATCACAGTTTATTAATACAGCGTTCAAGTCTGTCTGGAAAAATGGGCCAACATTTTTTTTTTTCTTAGGCATTGAATCGCACATTAACATATTATAGGTTGTGATTGGCCAGGTAGCACACTTGTGTGATAAGCTAACTCTCCTCCACATCCCCTTGCTATTTTCACTGTACCTTTAGCTGCCCAAGGCTTATTCATACTTCTCTATTGCATCCAGTGCCTCATGTCTCTTTACTACACCCAGTGCCTAATAGCATACACAGAAACATCCTATACTAGAACCCTGCTGAACAGTGGTCTGTGGTGGTCACTCTGGCAATAACTAAGCCCGTCAGCAACATTTTACAGTGCTTGGAGGGAGGACTTCTTCGATGACTGTAAGCAATGCATGAAAAGTCTCTGTGTGATTTTTCTGCTTTCTGTATAAAATAGAACACAAATGCTGTGGTAGCATGCTGCCTTGGTAGGCACTGAGTGTGTTATAAGGAGGATCTTTGGGACCCAAACTGCCTGCACAGTTTACATGTAAAGGATACTATAAAAGTGTATGTCAAGGCAAAACAAAATAAAAACACATGCAGTTCATCTATGTATTGCATGCACATTTCCTTTTGTTTTATCCATTTAAAGGCACTGCAGGTACAGAAAAATAACTGTTGAATTGTCAGAAATGCACTTAACTCCCAAGCCCTGTTGTGCCTGAAAACTTCCAGCATCATTTGCTAAACTACTACACTCAGATCTCTAGAACAGGAAGGCTAATATTTCTGTAGTCCAAGATGAGAGCTAGGATGGGTCTTTGATGATACCCCGGGAGTGTGCAGAAGACACAAGACAGCTCTGAAATTCAGAGGTCAGCAAGAATTTATTAGCCGTTATAGAAATGCTTCTAATGGTAGGTTAACCAGACCAAAATGAAGCAAATACGACACATGTATTGTTAGGGTTTTTACATACACTTTAAGGCCTGCAGATTACGTTACACAAAAGTACAATTCTTTTACACTGGGTAACTCACAAAACACTTATCTGCTAACTTCACTTTGAAGAAATGGGCTCACATTTGCTAGTATTCATATAAAACAATGTCTGACTGAATGAGCAATCGGAGATGTTCTTATGACTTTCGTATATTGTGCTCACTGCAGCTGACATACAGCTATACACGATTGTGTGGGGACCTTGCTGGGACCCAGCCTGGACCTTGGTGGGCCAGTATGTCGACCTTCTTTCAAAAACGTCCGTGGATCCCAGCACTCCATTACCGTGGTGGGACAAGAGCAGGCTGCTTCTTCATGGACACTTCAGCATGGACATTGAACAGTCTAATCTTCATCAACTGGCAACTGAGGTAAATGTTCCTGCTAATACGTGCTGTCATGTTATAGTGGTAAAAGGCTACAGTTGTGATATCTGTTTTTGTAGGACCCGTATAATACAACCGAGAATATGCACTGGGAGTGGAATAAACTCAAGTTCGCTTGGAATCCTGGACAATTTACCTTCAAAGGGGATCTGGATGTCAATGTACGAACAGCATCTAAGTGAGTGGGGAAAAACTGTTTACTTGTCTTTCAATCCCATAGCTTATAAAATGTCCCTGATAAGACATAACACTACTAAAACAAGCAACTCAGGAGAAGAAGCCGCACACCACAGTCCACCAGCAACAACAACCTTCCCACCTAGAGGTTGCCTGCACCAGCACGTTTCACCCGTTTAAGGCTTAAAGGAGAACTATGAGGTGTGTGCTTTTCACTCACCTCATAGTTCTAGCCGACCTGTGACAATGAGACTGTCACAGGTCGGCTCAGTAGATCAGGAGGTGAGCGAACATATACCGGCGTTCGCTCACCTCTCGATCCTGTCACGGCTCTCTGCTGTGACAGGGGAGGGGCTGGATTCCCCCCTCCCCGCTCCGATCCGCCAGCGCTGACTGGCGGATCGGGAGGGGGCGGGTACAGCTGGCTCTGCCTCTAGATAGGCAGAGGCAGCTGTCACTCACGCAGCTGGGCGGATCTCGACATCGATGTCAGGATCCACTCCGGGTGCGGAGTTTCAGTATATCGCGAGCTGTAGCTCGCGGTATACTGAGATTAGGGTAACCGGAGGACGCTAGCCTGTGTCCTCCCGTTACCCAAAGGAGAACGTGGAAAAGCCCTAACCCCATAGTTCTCCTTTAATCGTAGAGACACGATAGATGTCTCTATGAAAGCCGTAAATGAGTGAAACACGTTAAGGCGGTCAGCTCCTAGGTGGCAACTCTGTGTGCTGACAGTTTTTGGCATTTAACATGGATTAAAAGTTGTTGGTGGACTGTGGTGAGAGGACGTCGTCTCTTGAGTTGCTGTGTTGAAGCGTGGGCTGCACCCCTGTGTTCCCGGGTGTTGAAGGCTCAGTGTTGGAGCAGTGATGTCTCCTTTGCGCTACTACTAAAACAAGAATGTACTTGGCTAAGACACTTAGTTTTAGCAATGTTGAACTGTGTTTAAATCCTGACAAGGGACTTCTTCTATTTGCTGCCTTTTGGATCTGTTAAATATACCATTGAAAGCATTTTTACATGATCCTGCTACAAAGTTTGTCAGCTAGTAACTTCCTATAATCTCTCCCTTTGCTGTTATTAGTTACATTTTCCCAACTCTCTCTGAAGATTATAGAACCCCCCCCCCCCCTTTAGGTTGCAGAGAAGAGAGGAGGAGATGTTCTGTAGTCCTGTCCAAGGGTGTAACGCACAGTGCTCTCAGTAGTGTTTTTATACTTATGGATCACAACTGTGGATTGGGAAATAAACGGGGCACACTCGGGATCAAGGAGTCACAGCTACAACTCTAGCAAGTCATTTGACATTCCCATGTAATAATGTTGTGCTAGGTATGTATTTAGCAGTTCAAGGAAACAGATTGACATGCATGAGTTTAAATCACACCAGGAATAATTGCTAATCACATGTAGGAGTGATTGGAGTGATGCAGTTATGCAGTCTTGAGGAGATGACGTGTTCTGGCGGTTGCAGTGATGCGGCCTAGAAGGAGGTTTTTTTAGTCGAACAGGATAGGTTGGTAATGCAGGCTTGATATCCTGGGAGTGGATGTAGGCAGAGCAATCCCTGGATTAACTCTGGATGGATGAGCAGTGAGGATCCACTCTGGATGGATGAGCAGTGAGGATCCACTCTGGATGGATGAGCAGTGAGGATCCACTCTGGATGGATGAGCAGTGAGGATCCACTCTGGATGGATGAGCAGTGAGGATCGACTCTGGATGGATGAGCAGTGAGGATCCACTCTGGATGGATGAGCAGTGAGGATCCACTCTGGATGGAGGAGCAGGCAGGATCAACTGTTGATGGACGAGCAGTGAGGATTAACTCTGGATGGATGAGCAGAGGAGAGTAAACTCTGGATGTCAGAATGCAGTTATGCAGAGCAGCAGTTCGACAGTCTCTCAAGTCAAGTGGATAAAGCAGAGCAGATGGTTGTCAGCAGTATTGCAAGGAGGCTGTTACGAGCAGAGCTATAGACAGTCTGCTCACTGACAGCTATAGAGGATATGCCTGGGGGTTCGAGAGTGATCACAGTGAGGAGGTCGCTTGGGGAGGTATTGCAGGAACACCAGGCATTTTAAATCTGGCGCCTTAATCCAGGTAATAAGGAGGAGCAGAGTGACGCCGCAGACAAGAGGGCAGCCCCACCTACAGATTGCGGAACGGAGGCGAGGTGAGTACATTACACAGGGCGTCAATGCTGCTTATTCATAGATGCAGTACTGTGAATGTTGTCACCCTAAGGCAAGAAGTTACTGGCAGAATTGCTTGGTGGAAAAAAAAAAAGCTTGAAAAAAGAAAACTAATGCAGCCTCCATGTCTGAGGATTAATAAGCTGCAGTATATTACATTTTTGCTCTTGGGTTTAGAACTATTTTAAGATAGTGGTGGTTACAAGGGGATATAAAAGTATGGCAGGGCTTTGCACACTTAAAGCCAGCAGTTGCAGGGATGTTTCAAGTTTTTTTACATGTTTTTTTGTTTAATTTTTAGGATTAAAAATGTTAATGTATCTTTTTAATCCGGTAAATTTAAAATAACCGGCAGGCAAAGCACTTTAAAATGCTGACTGCAGTTCTTCACTTCTATGCTATATACAGTAGAGAGAGAGTGCACTTTATAATTTAACATTCTGCTGTTCAACTCTATTCAGAATGTGCTCACAATGGAGTAAGTTTGGAGGAAGGTGAACCTCTCCCTGTTTCTGGATCATACATATATAGAGTATATAAATACATAAAAATCACATTATTTTTCTTAACACCTTACCAGAAATTAGGCTGCACGTTGGAGTAAACTAATCACACTTTATTCAGTTGCAAAATTCTGTTTTTAAATACACTCCCTGGCCAAATAAAATTCACCACCTGGATTTAGTTTTGTTATTGGGGTTGCTTCATTTGGCCAGGTCTAGGTTCAGCAATGTTACGTGCCCAAAAACTGAGGTCAGCTACCTACCTGAATATACTGAAGGACCAGGTTTTTCCATCAATTGATTTTTTCTTCCCTGGTGGCACATTGGGCATATTCCAAGATGACAATGCCGGGATTCAGCTGGCTCAAATTATGAAAGAATGGTTCAGGGAGCATGAGACATCATTTTCGCACATGGATTGGTCACCACAGAGTCCAGAACTTAACCCCAATGAGAATCTTTGAGATGCTGGAGAAGACTTTACGCAGTGGTCCAACTCTCCCATCATCACTATAAGATCTTGGTGAAAAATGAATGGGATAAATGTTGTGACATTGCATAAGCTTATCAAAACGATGCCACAGCAAATGCGTGCCGTAATCAAAGCTAAAGGCAATCCAGTGAAATATTAGAGTGTGTGACTTTTTTTTGGCCAGGCAATGTACTTTTGGCATTGGAAGTTGTGTGGGAGATAATTAGGTAAGAGCACAGAGGGAACCACCAGGGTACATTTGGTGATACACTGTACCAGTAAGTTTATAGAGAATTGAGCTGTGTGCTTATATTAATATTCTGATCACATGATTTTATGCCTATAGCTATATATGTATATAAGAAAAGAAGTAAGCTGTAAAACACAATTAGTTGACAGTATTGTATGTAATGTGTACTAAATCCCCCCACAGGTATGATGACTGCTGTTTCCTTCACTTGCCTGACCTGGTTATGATCTTTGACCTGCAGTGGTTATGCCATGGGAACCCCCATGATCATCATAATGTAGCACTTCGTTCCCCTGACTATGTCACAGAGCTTTCTTCCATCCAGCCTCATGATTCTTACCGTGCCTTCCGCTCTGCGAACCTCAATCTTTCCATTAAGATGGACCTGTCTCAGTCACATGCTGGTGGGTGACATGTACCATTTGTTTTATACATACCCGTACTGTTTATTCTGTTATACTGTACCCGCTTCTTAGGTTGCACATGTCTCACCACAGAGATGTTAATAATAAATGGAATTTATTATTGCACAAATGCCATTATTAATGGCATTTGATAATGGAAATGGTGCAAAAAATACATTGCACGCTGTTCACGTGTTTTTCTGCTTTAGGTCTTTACTGTCGGTAAGTAATCTGTCTTTATCACAGGGACTGTAACATCTGTACAATGAGCTCTGGAGCAGGCAACATAGTGGCCAGTGCTACAAAGAAAAATGTTCTAACTACTTGATGTCCTGGGTTTTATTCTCACCAATACACTACTTGGAGTTAGTATGTGTTTTCATGGTGTAGCACAGTATGCTCAATTTTACTACCACACAGTTAAAAGATATGCTGGTAGGTTACCTGTCTCTCACCCACATCCACGTTATGTATTCTGCATATGATCCTACAAGGAACATTATATTGTTAGCTTTTCAAGGGCAGGGAGTGATGTGAATGGTTCAGTAGTCTCTCCAAAGCCCACAGAATATGTGAGGCCTATAGAAAAAAAAGTAAAATAATTACAGGGGTGTTTGGAAAGTAGAAAAATCACATAGCACTTCATGACATCACTATGGCCTTGTACACTGAAGCTCCAAAATTAAGCCGGTAGCTGTAGAAGAGGGAGCTACTGCTCAGAGACTGACTCGCTTCTCACTAGCTGTACTGTGGTCCTGGATAAGATCGAGCATGTTTATAACCAGTAGAAGGAAAGAATGAAAATATGCACAAAATGATGGTGATCTCCAAAGGTTTATTAGCATAAAACCATAAAAATTAGAGTGCAGGACTAGACAAATCAGAGGTGCCAGGTAGCCATGACCCCCATACATTTACAGCTGGTGTCTAACTTTTTGGGCTTTTTCCTCTTGTCATCAATTGAGCTGGCTACAAAAAAAAATTCTGCTCACTAATGGATTGGACAGGCTGGCTCCTCAATTTCAGAATTTTTCCACCCCTTTTATAGTAACCTACAATTGCTGACATGTTTCACACTAAACAGTGCCTTTTGTGAAATGTATAAGACTATTACAAAGCACAATTTAGTGTGAGACATGTCAAGGTCTCTATATTTGTTTTGATTTTATGCTAATAAACTTCTGAAGACCACGGCCATCTTGTGTGGATTTTAGCTTAATCATTGTACGGCTTTTCAGCATACATAGGTTGCTTTGCACCTTGGTAAAATATATGTAGAATGTAGAGTTTCATTGCAAGAACTCCCCAGGATGCAAGTCTGCGACAACCGACAATGCACACCGAAAACCTTGTCTATTTTTATAAAAGTTGGATGCATGCTAGCATTTAGTGTTTGTGCGAGAGACAGTCACAGCTGTCATTAGGGAACACCTGAGCACTGGCTGCTGCTGCTGTACTAGAATTATGAAAAAGTGCAGGCATTAGAGAATGCTATACCAACGGTCCTACACACAGGAGCCAAGATGAGGAATAACATACACCCGACCCACTATTTTTTTCTTCAACTTTAGGCTACCCCATTCAATTTATACGCTTCTCACCCAATCTCTGACACTAAACCTGACCTGTAAATGAACACTTGCACTCCTTACCAACACGAAATACTTTTATCAATCCTTAAACTCAAACCTAACACCTAAACATAACCGACACCACCCAGGCTCTGCACCAAACAGCGCAGCGCCAAGATGTTGACATTAATGACCACAGGTTTACACTCCAGCTTCTCACATTTGTTCATGCCAACCAAAAGAAAAAAGAAACATGCTGTGGACTGTTCTTGGAAATAATGATTGTTTTTGATTGACAACTGGTAGAACACTTATCAAAAAAGAAAATAAAATTTCCAAGTGTATGGCCAGCCTAAGACCTGCAGCATCAACAAGACATCACAGTTTACATTTATTTTGATGCAAAGCGAAGTGAAATTCTCAATGTTGGCACCTGTGTGTATGAGGCCTTTGTTCTTTGTACAGTACTTTGTTCTTTGTACAGTACTTTGTTCTGTGCAAAGCATGTGTAATCTGATTACCAAAGAAATATTTGTTGTTCATGCTGCAATCTGCCAAAAAAGCTTAGGGACTGTTTAAAAAAAAAGGTATATTTTTCTTTGTCTAGAAGTGTGCCAGCCTCGCATTTTGTTATACAGCAGCACCTTACGCTGGATGCAGAATTTCTGGGCAACGTGGAGCAGTGTGACTCGCCCCATCTGCCGAGGGAAGCTGTTTAACAATCTGAAACCGGGAAAGAAGAAGCTTGGACAGCACTACAAGCAACTCTCGTACACTGCATTGTTTCCACAGCTACAGGTCAGAGAAAACCCCACACACTCTGAGGCTGATTTACTAAGGGGTTTGGGAATGTTCACGCAATAAATCATGTGAAGATTCACTTTAGTGATCCAGCCATGTAAAAAGAAAATCCATGTTTACTTACATTATGTAATTTGCACATGATTGGATAAGTATTCACACAATTTACCGTGTTAACATTCTCAAATCCTTTAGTAGATCAGCCTCCATGTTTCGATACAGGGGGGCATGTTTAAGAAAGTAAACAGCCTTGTTTTCTTCTTCTCCAGATCCACTATTGGGCCTCCTTTGCCCAGCAGAGAGGAATTCAAGTAGAGTGTAGTCAAGGTGAAATCTTCACCCGCGGAGTGCAGAGACTCATACCACAAGGTAAAGTTTTAGAGATCCTCTAAGGCCTATTTCAGTACAGACATTTGTGTCCGTGGTATATGCATATGGATTTTGTAGGTAGGCTCATATGGGAATACCCACACACACCATGCATGTGCTAAACAAGTATACACCAGAGATGAAGGCACCAATTCAGACCCAGCATAGAACATGGCAGAACACGTGCAATATGCAACATTAGTGATATGACACACATGCAATATGGATCGCATTCATCCCTAAGAAATCATGTATTTAGAAAAAGGTTATGGCATCCCAGCAAGCGCAGTAGAAACATTTGTACTTAAGATAGGATTTCCTGTCAGTTGCTCTTCTTGCAGATTTGCCAGCCCATATTTCAGCTGCTCCAAAACATAGAGCTACTGTAACATAGTGTGATTACATATGGTGTTCCTGTACACCTGAGAGCACCATATTTATGTATCCCTATGCAAAGATTTCACATGACTAGTAAAGGCATTTATGTCATAAGAAAATATCAACCACTTACATATGGCATTGACACAATGTAAGACCAGTGATGTCGATCAAATCAAGGGATGGACATGGTCAGCAAATGATAATTAATTGGTACTAAGGGACCCAAAGTGTGCCAAGAAAATATTCCCCACAACATTTCACAACCACCACCAGCCTGAACCGTTGATACAAGGCAGGATGGAACCATGCTTTCATGTTGTTTATGCCAAATTCTGACCCGACCATCCAAATGTCGCAGCAGAAATTGAGATTTATCAGACCAGGCATCTTTTTCCCCCAATCTTCTATTGTCCAGTTTTGGTCAGCCCTTGCAAGTTGTAGCCTCAGTTTCCTATTCTTCAATATTCTATGTGTTGCGCGTTCAGAGATGGTATTCTGCATACCTTGATTGTGAGGGAAAATTTCTGTAGATCAACAGTTTCTGAAAAACTCAGACCAGCCCGTCTGCCACCAACAACCATGCCATCTTCAGTCACTTAAATCGCCTTTCTTCCCCATTGTGATGCTCAGTTTGAACACCAGCAGATTGTCTTGACTATGTCTACATGCCTAAATACATTGAGTTGCTGCCACGTGGTTGGCTGATTTAGATATTTGTGTTTAATGAGCAGTTGAACAGGTGTACCTAATAGAGGGGCCAGTGAGTGTATATCACACTGTTCCTTTACTTCCATTTACTGAGCAATTGCTTCTTCTCGACTGCATCTGCTGGGTTATGTTTCAAATGTGCAATGCATTACAAAATTCCCCTTCACTAAGTAAAGGGGACATCTTCCATTTCATTCCAATAAATATATGCACGTATTTGTGACAGTGTCCCCCTATTGATCCATGAACTTGGTCAGTTGCAGTGTGTCTGCATCCCTAGCCACTCCTAAAGTATAGGGTCTTAATCAGTAGTAAAGATCAATATGCATCAACAAACCGCAATCAAAGGGGATTAATCTGTCAGTCATCTGAATTCTGATTGGCTGCTGTTTGTTATTGCAATATCCTCTTCAGCTTATTTAATAGGCATTAAGTGTCTGATCTAGTTTCAACAATGAATCTGTTTAGTCTGGGCATAGAATATAAGAAGTTACAGTTGTTGAAATTTCCCATCACATATGAATTTTTGAACATGGAATGCAGTATTAATTTATGTGAATATGTTTCTCTTTTCACTGGTTCTGGCGAATGTGGACATCATATCCTAACTAAAATGTATGTATTGCTTTGTGCTTGATGTTTGTGCATTGTTTCACTTCATAGATGCCATTCATCGTACATTAGCTGTTCAAGTGATTATATGTTTAGGTAAAGTAAAGTAGAGCTAAAGCCAAACTTTTTTTCAGTTTCGGATACAGTGGAGAGGGATTAGAAAGCCTGTCAGATTTTTTTGCTGTCTGTGTCTCTGTTAGGGAGATTCACCCTCTCTATTTGTCCTGGTGACCATTAATACTGAGAGTAAAAGAAAATCCTACATTTTGAGTCACCAGAATAGGAATAGAAGGGAAATCTTCCAATAGAGACACAATTTCTGGTGACAACTAGGAACTTCTCTCACTTTGGAAAGATTTCCTCTTACTTCCCATTGTAGTTATGGGGTAGGTAGTAAAGGACTACAGATGTGGAAAAAAACTGGCAGGGGTTATAGTCATCCCTTACAATAACTAAAATAAAAAAAATCTATTTTGGATTTAGCTCAATTTCAACTTTACTTTGTTTGCAATAATGTGAAGTTCATCTACATTTTTATTAATTGTAGCATATTCCGAGTCCCAGAGTTTGTGCTCTCTCTCTCTCTCTCTCTCTCTGTCCCTGAGTTTATTGGCTGAAAATTTCATCTTTTGGTTCTTAACTTACTGCTTTATATCCTTATCTCCTTAGCTGGTACAGTGATGCGTCGTCTCATCTCAGAGTGGAGTGTGCCACAAATGACCAGCAAACTCAACCTTGTCACTGTACATCTCATGGCCTCTGCCTGTGATGAGAATGCTGATCACCAGCTTGACAACCTGGTACAGAAAACACATCTGCTCAGCCTTTCATCACTGAGCTATGACAGACAGGTAGGGCTAACAGAATGGGCAACCAACAATAAACTTAATCAAGATTTTAGCTGATTATGCCTAATGATATGTTTACTTATTGATTTAAAGGGGCTTTCCAGTTTTGGCAAACAGTCCAGATCCGACTTCTTCCCTTTTGTTCCATTAGGTGGGCAAATCCAGCCTTCCAGCTGTGCTTTAACTACACATTGCAACATGCCTCTACCTTTGGGAATCGCATCTGTCAGTCTTGCAGTGCCTCATGGGACTTGTAGAGCTGCCCACCTCTGCGTAGACGCTTTAGTATGATTGCTGTCCAAGAGCTCTCATGATATTTTAGCCACTGCTGTCCTCAATGTTGTACATTAAAGATTTCCTGGAAATTTTTAAATTAACCCTTGCAGTGCGATTAGCCCCGCACTGCAGGGGTTAAAGAAGAATTAAAGTGTTTTTTTTGGCATATATCTGCTACTAGTAAAGCAGTAGATGTATGGCCCAACATTAAACAAAAAAAGTTGGCGAATACCAACAAACTTAGCTGCATCAGCGGCGCTCGCTCATGCTGTAGAAGTCCTAGTTCCCAAACACTGTGAAGGAGGAAGTGTGAGCAGGTGCATGCGCAGTACAGAGCGTCGTATGGGAGAGGTGGAGAGCACCGCTGACACTGAATGGACACAGCCAGGCAGCCTGGAGCATGCACGCACGACAGACTCCGAGGGACCCGAGGAGTCTCCACTGGATCAGAAACTGGCACCAGCGCTGATGGACTTTGGAAGAAGCTGTTCGGATCAAGAGGCATCACACCAGGAAAGTCCTTAAAGCAGTATTGGGGGTATTCTTGCTTTAATGTCACTTTAAGTGCTCATTTGTGTCTAGGTTAAACAAAAAAAACGTATACTCACCCGAAGCTTTGATCCGGCTTCTTCTTAGACCAGTCCTTCTATCTCTCCCCCTCCTCTGCAGCAGCTGAAGGTCCCATAAACCATCACATCTATACACTGCGTATAGATGTGAGGATGCTGAAGAAGATTCCAATGTGCTGTGAAGGAGGATACAAACTGCAGGAAGCGCGGTGACAGCTGGTCGGCTTGGAGCTTCGGGTGAGAATATCTTTGTTATTTTTGTTCCTAGACGGAAAGGAGCACTTAACGCTTGCGGTGCGGGGGTAGCCCCACTGCAAGGGTTAATATGTTTTCCTGGAGATACTGTCCACATTTCTCCACAAGAGAACAAAGGAAAAGGCAAGAGCCCACAGGAGGCTTTTCTGGGTGTAGTACCTTGAAATACTTGTTGGATTAACAAGTATATGCAATATATTAAAAGTTCTGGGGGTGTTTACTCACATTTGGGTGGTTGCAAGATACCCACTGGGGTCATGAAACCATATAAATCGCCTGTGAAGAATATGACTTTCTCCACGCAGAATGTCACAGATAATGAGGTTGCACTGGATGCTGTATTCCTGATGGCTATTGTTATTTAAATGTATTGGGGAAGGGACTCCCTGAAAATTTTTTGGGGACAGCAGAGGTGCACATGTTGAAGAAAGACAATTGAGTGCCTTGATTTGCAAGGATATATTGATGTGTAATACATGTATTTGGAAAGCAGCTTGAGCAAGCCTGCCAATCCTGTCTCTCATTGAGAAAGAAGAATAATCCCTCAGACTATCAGTTTTTTGCTAGTTTCCTAGGAGAAGGCGACACGTCTTTTCTGCAGCTCTTTTTTTTCTTCAGTTTATTTTTACATTCAAGTCTCTTCTCTGCATCACTGCTTCATTTCATTTTCAGCTTTATCTCTTCAGTTGCAGCTTTCTGGCATAGTCATCCGTAGTCTGGTTTTTGGAGTATCATGTCTAGATTCCACTTTACTGGATTTGTAGGAATAGACTGGAAGTAACCTTTGTACATTATGTTCTGTGTAGGGTGCTTTTCAGACTCTGGTGAAATGTAGCTGCAGTTAACCTTTCAGGTCCAGAGCCATTGGCTTTCCCTCAGCGCTTGCCCTGCTTAGGCCATGCATTGGGAGCAACCTCAATTACGTAAGCCGCTGGACATCATTATTCCCCATCCAGCCAGTTTTGCATTGGAAGGATTAATGCCACAGGACTGTGCTGACATGATACGCTAGGTGAACTGACGTGCTCCCATGTGTTCTGCACTTGTTTTCCTGCCATACAGCTTTGAAGAACCATCTCCCCGCTGCTCCTCCTGCTTGAAACGAGCCATGTGGAACTTTGGTCTTCGATCTGTTCCTGCGGCATGCACACAGTGATTTTGACCACCTCCAGCTATTTGACCCTTGTCTGCTACCAGCTTTTTGGGTTTCATTAGTACCTGAGGCAATGGCTCTTATTCTGAAACTGTTACCTTAGCACTTGGTGGCAACATGTCTGATTCTAGAAATGGTGTCCCAGCTCACTTCCTACTAATGTGTCTATGACTGCTTGCAGTGAGCCTTCTGAAAGTGCCAACATCTGCAGCCTGGATTCATTATGTCCTATAATGTATGTCCTCCAATTTTAGAATCTGTTCCATTCTTGGAATCCTATTTGGCTCTGTCGGTTGTGGCTGGGCCCTTTCCCTTCTTAGCTGAGTTTAAGTCATTGCATGTTGGCCATGCAAGATTTTATGATCCAAATTTCCCAAGTTATTTGCAGACTCTTTTTGCAGAGGCCTCAAGTGCACTCCTATGCCCTTCCCTGAAGATTCTATAATTAATTTGCCCACAGGCATGGGCTGCAGAGACGCTGCCATGCTGTTTGCTCCCCCTTAGCGCTTATTAGCTCTGTATCCGTTTAGTGAGGATTTTGTATAGAGGTGCTCTAGTCTCACTGTGGATCTGGCAGTGTCCCTCCTTAGTGTGGTGGCTTACTATTCTGTTAGAGAATGTGCCTGTCTCTAAGGATCCAATCAATAAGCAGTTGGATGCCCTTTCTGGATATCTGTTCTCTCTGGTTGGCCCTGCCCCTCATACAATTCTGGCTGTCACCTTACTTTCTCGGACTATGTATAACTGGTCAGAATTCCTTAAAAGATATCTAACTGCTACCAAGGTTAATCCCTGTTTCTTAGAATGCATGGAGCTGGTAGTCATACATTTTAGCTATGATGTTAGCTAAAAGCCTCTTATCTAATTTCTTGCATGTGTTTCATGTCAGGTCATACGCATAGGGCACTTTTACTAAAGTGCAGGACTGTGGAACCTCTGTTTAGAAAGTGTGTGATTCACATGGTCTTTGAGTGACAGCGTCTCTTCTGCCTAGGTGTTGGCAATGCCATCAAGGATGCTACTGAAACCTAAGGAACAGACTGCTAAATCTTCTCCCTCTTTTTCTGTTAAGAAACGCCTTTCATTTCTCTACTTTCCCGACCTCCACGTCGAGATCCCCCCCTGTCTCCACCAAGCTTGGCTTCCAGTCTACCTGTAAGGTCTGGCACTCAGCCTGCCAAATTCTCAGACAAGCCTTCAATTGCATGAAGTTACGTTCACACTTTCCAGAGTGGGGAGAGGTTTGTTACCCTTTGTGGACATTTGGACTGCTTGCATCTCTGATGCTTGTTTGGGCTACAAACTTTATTTTGCTCCCTGCCGCTCCCTGGTTTCTCACCTCTAATCTTCTTATGTTACTGCACAGATTAGTAGATCTCTATCGAGCTTTCTTGGTTCCTCAGGTTTAAGGTGTCATTACCCCAGTTCCTGTGGAAAAACTGAATTTTATTCAAGTCCCAAATGGGGCTTTTACCCCATTCTGGATCTCAAAGCTCTGAATGTCTTTATTCAAGTCCAAAAATTCTGCAAGAAATCTACCAATTCTGCCATCACCTCCCTTCACCAGGGGTACTTTGTGGCTTCTGTGGACATCAAAGATGATTACTTACCCTTGTCTTTCCACTGCACCAGTGATGCCTACAATATGCCATGGGGCTCCTGCACCACCAGTTTGCAACCCTACACTTTGTCCTCTCGTTTGTATTTTGGGTATTCACCCAAGGTGTTGGCTCCTGTACTTGTCATGCTGTAATTTCGGGTCATCCCCATTGTGTTGAGGGAACAGTCAGCGTTGGCTCTTTTGGACTACGTTAAGTTGACCGTTCAGAAGTTACAGCTATAATGATAGATCATAAACCGTCATAAATTTTTTTGTAACAGACACGTCCTTTTGGAATATCTGGGTTTAGACCCGGGCACTGCTTAGGCCAGAGTGTTCCTACCACAGGAGAAATTTAAGACACTCCTGTCTCCAATTCAAACTCCCCAGTCCAGGAGCCATCTGATTCCACTTTTGCATGAGAGCCCTTGGCCTGATAGTTGCCTCTTTTGAGGCAGTCTCATTAGTAAAGTTTCACTCCAGGCCTCTACTACTTAACATTCTATTATCATGGAACAAGTCAATCTGGACAGACCGATTCATTTATCACCAAGCACCGGGTTGTCCCTGGCCAGGTGGCTCAGGAATCTGACTCTGGAGTTGGGGAATGATAAAGTTGTAGGCAATGCTTTGCTACAAAACTGATGCATGTTGGTAGTGGGGGGGTTTATCATGGGCTGGCCTACAGTTTTTTGTTTGCTAGTGCCCAATCCTACAGGTAGCACTAAACCCAAAAGTATTGTTTCCCTCAGTAGACTCTAAGAAAAGGATTTTATGGTGAGTACAAACACATTTTACTTTTTGTTTAATGTTGGACCGAAACAGCTGTTGTTTTTTAGCCAAAGCTGAATATGTAGAAGATATCACCCAGTTTTAGGGCTTTTGTTCCTATCGGACAGATTAGCATTCCCATACAAGTCTTTGGAGGGCAAAACCCACCAGAAGTAGGTCATGGGGAGGTCATCTGCACCTGTTAATGAATTCTGGATGATCTTATAAGTTCTTCAAACTGATGCCATCTGCATAAGCCCAAAGCCCATCAGCGCAGGACCTTACTGCTGTTGTTAGAATTGTTTTATAGTACATGTATGGAAAAAAATGTAGACTTGTGTATATAGCATATTTGTTCTCTCTTACACCATGTTTTGCTAACTGCTTATTGACAGGAACTGTCTCCCACTGGTGAAGAGAATGTTATCTATACCCACCGGCTCCACCTGGTTGACCTAAGGGCTTCTTGGACAACTCTTAACAGAGACATAGCATTTGGTCTTTATGATGGCTACAAGAAAGCAGCAGTTCTGAAGCGCAATCTCTCCACAGAGGCCTTGAAAGGACTCAAAATTGACGCCCAGTTGCAGGCTAAGAAACTGAAACGCAGCTCCTCTAGCAAATTTCCTTCTTCTAGGCAATCAGCACCACCTGTTGTTACAGGAAGGAGCGAGAGATCTCCATCCGGAGGTAGGAAATGTGACTGGAGTTTTTACACTAGAATTGCTAGATGTCTGTTATGACTAGGGATGCACCGATACTAAGTACTGTACTTGGTACAAGTACAGATACTTTTCGAGCTCCTAGACTAGAGAAAAATTCAAAAGTTAGGAGGCAGCTGCCATTTGTAAGGAGCACACGGAGCTTCTGGGATTTGTTCATCTCTGTTTTATTGTATGATTTTGTTTTTATAAACATATATAAATGGATGCACCGATACCATTTTTGCAAGTACGAGTACTGATACTTGCCCAAGTACTGATACTTGCCCAAGTACTTAGACACAAGTACTGATAAATTTTTGTTTATTGTCATGTGACAGTTTTTCTAAAACAATATCGACTAATGATTTCAGGACAGTGGTGGAGAGCCAGAGCCAGGTCCCGGCTGCAACCCTGGTAGTTCTCATGAAAAATGTCAAGTATCGGCACTGGTATCGGTGCATCCCTAGTTATGACATGTTATAATATATGCATTTACAGTTTTTATAAATGTATGTTTTGCCTATTAAGTGTTTTTCTGTGCTCAGAGGTAGATAACTGCAAATGTGGTGACTTTTTATTATTTTATTCTTTTTTACCTCGTCCTATTGGTTTGAATGCTAACTTGCAGCAAATAAATGTGCTGCTATCTCCAAATCACATAAAAGGGTAAGTCATTCCGAAACTGATAATTCAGTTCTTGGAAAATGGCATCAAATTTAGTCATTTGGCTTCTGAATACTTTAGAGCATTCAGCAGTATTAGTTTAAACCCCTGACAGAGCCATCGTATATTGCTTTATGCTGCTCTATAGAATTTTAGCTTCCTGCTGGACTCGCATGTAGGAATATTTAAAAACCTTCAATATGAGCTTGGGTGACAAAATGGAATGGTGTAGACTCATTTGACACATCTAGGATTGCTTGTTAAAGTAGTGCCTCTTGGGTAACCCTACCTTTTCAAAGAAGCTGGTGAGTAATTGAGCTCCCTAGCACCCTCTTAGCCCCAATCTGTGCTTAAATACATTCAAATCATCTGGTCCCCATTCAGAACTGCACTATGTGGTCTGTTGGTGCCCTATGCACACTCACTGCAGACACGTGATGATTAATGTATTGAGATAATAAGTACTGGCTTCCAGGTAGGAATGGACTCGGTTGTTTCTTGTATGTTTATCTTTGTCTATCATTATCCTTCTTTAGGAGCAGACATGTTGCAAAAGTTGATTGAGGAAACTGATAAATTTGTCGTTTTTACTGAAGAGGAGTCTGGCGTGAGTGAGCAGTTGTGTGGAAAAGCTGCTTGTCAGGACACCGACATCTATAATCACAACTGGCTTATTGAACTGGTAAACTGTCAGGTAATGGCGTATAGATTAATTAATCTTTTATAGAGCTCTAAACAGGACAAGCAGCAAATAAGTACAATGTCGGGCAGCCTTAAAGTGACCCTCTGCTTTCTCCTTGCAAAGGAAAGTAACATGTTCACTTAACTGCCACCTACCTTAGCGGCATATAATTTTCCTTTCACTCTCCTGCTGCTAAGCTTGGCCCCTGGAAGTGAAAAGCGGAATCCCTGTTTTGGAGATAAAGACCCTTTTTGCCTCTGTGACAACGATGAGTGCCCGGCAGCCGTTTTCCAGTCATTTCCAGTTATTTTATTACATTTGGAGATTTCATACAACTTGAATTGACCATATTGTTCTCAATGCAATAAGAAAAGCCTGATGGAACTCTAAGAACATTCCACCATTTACATTATTAGTAAAAGAAATGATTCTTTCTATGGCATTTTATACATCTCACTCTTATGTGTACAGATGGTACTTCGAGGAGCTGAGACAGAAGGTTGTGTTATTGTGTCTGCAGCAAAAGCCCAACTCTTCCAGTGCCAGCACCACCCATCCTGGTATGGAGACACCTTGAAGCAAAAAACATCTTGGACCTGCCAGCTTGACAGCATGCAGTACTTTGCTACTACTGAGAGCAGCCCAAGTGAGGGTGAAGATAGCCAGCGCTGGCTGGAGGTCAGTCTTTGCTTTTGATATCATTTTACATATGACCATTAAAGAAGAACTCTGGGCATTTTAAACATTAACCCTTAGCTGCTCATTTTGGTCTAGGATTAAAAACAAAAAACATGTTCACCCAATCCTTTGCCCTGCCTTGTCCCTACAGCCTCTTCTCCCCCTGGCTCCGGCAGTCTAAGGACCCGTGATGTCACTATGTTCATTGACTTGCCTTGGACGTGAGGACATTCCACAACTGTAGCGAGGGGGGGAGAAAGGTGAGCGGTTACCGTAGACCCTAGACATATGAGCACATAACCCTTGCAGTGCGGGGGTAACCCCACTGCCAGGGGTAAAAGGAGAAGTATGGGGCAACCCTTTTTGCCCATAGTTCTCAGGGTCACAGGAGGACATGTACTGTGTTCTCCGATGACCCAAAACTCAGTATTAAGCGAGCTATTGCCCGCTATATGCTGACAGCGCAGCAACTGGGACGGATCCCAACAATACTGCCGAGTTCCACCCAGCTGGCTGATTGACAGCTGGCTCTGCCTCTATAGAGCTGTGCCCGCCCCTCCCCCATCCATTCCTCCAGTCAGCGCTGGAGAGGGGAGGGGGGGAATCCCTATGCGGAGCACTGACTGACAGTCACTACTGTTTGCAGGGAGAGGATCGGGAAGTCAGAGATTGGCGGTGTCTGTTCGCTGACTTCCCAATCAATAGAGCCGACCTGTGACAGCTTCTTTGTTACTGGTCGGTTTGAATTATGGGGATGAGTGTATTTCACTCACCTCATAGTTCTCCTTTAATGTTTAATATGCACAGAGTTCTCTAACTTCTTTTGATATTTACCACACAGGTTATATCTCCGTCTCAAGTATGTTATAAATCTACTGTCTTTATTGTTACTGTACATTTTTACAGTTCTTAGTTGACCCAATATATCAACATGTCAGTGCTATCTGTATTGCCCCGTGGTGTCCAATCAAATTTTCCTATAGTTGTTTTGAATATGATTGTGCAGCCTTGTCATTTGTAGCTTTTAGCTGTTCTTAGAAAATACAGTATCCCGTCATTTTCTTCAGGTGAAAAACATTGAGGAACACCGTCACAGGAACCTGGACACTGTGCAGGAGCTGATGGAGAGTGGTCAGGCTGTTGGAGGCATGGTCAACACAACTACAGGTCAGAAGCGTATTAGTAGCTGTTAGTAATAAAATGTAATAAAATGAAATTCTAATTCCAATCAATTTCTTCTGTTCGTTGATCCATTTTAGACTGCAGTCATTCGGTAGAGGCCCAGCAAAACCAGCAAGTCCAGAGAATAATATCCCGTTGTAATTGCCATATGTATTACATCAGTTACAGTCATGATATTGACCCAGAGCTGGCTTTGCAGATCAAACCACCTTCGACACCTTTACACCCAGAGAAGGAAGACTTGCTTAAAGGACAAGAAGGTACACTTTGAATCTGCTGTTGAAATACAAGAAGCCACATTTCAAAGCATTGGCAAAAACAGCCTGTGTTGCGAAGCCAGATTAGAAGGCAGCCATCTTCCCAGATTTTCAAGTTTGTGTATAGTTACTTAACTACAACCGATTAGTTGTAGTTTACTTAAGTGCAATCAATGAACACCAGGCTAACAGAGTTAGGCCAACCTTAAAGGAAAAAATCTTGTAAAGACTTATAAGATGGTTTTTATTTAAAGGATTTGCTAGCTTTAGGAGCCATCTCTTCTACGGTGCCATGTTAGGGTTTGTGCACAGAAAGCGTAAAGCCCGTGACACACTGCATGCGAAGCCACGCAGAGCTGTTGGGAACGGAGCTTCGCATGCAGTGTGTGAGCTGAGTGCAGTCAAATGATTGACTGCATCTTCAGCCAATCGGCTCGCACGTAACAACCGGATGAAGATGATCTTTTTCATCTCGGCACGCTCAGATATGCGAGCTCTCACAAGCTGACGTGCCAGAGAGAAAAAGACGTGACACACTACACGCAAAGGCTCCTTAACGTGATGTGTGTCACAGCCTTAACAATTGCCTTCTATTCCTGCGGCCAGAATTATTTTATCATTTGCTCGTGAATGAAATGTATAATATCCTCCCATCTCCAGAAGAGGCAGAAGAAAGAGCTATCCTCTTATGATACCTTACAGTTTTTACAGCTATGATAGTAACTTAAGGAATTATTTAGAAGTTGTAAAAAAAGACTGGTGTCTCTCAGGTTTAGCCTCTTGCAACTCCTGTAGCTTTAGAAAAAGTCTAGAAAAACAAGAACAATCTATTGTTTAATACCCTTCATGCAGAGATTGTAATCAGCAATTGTAAAGTGTTTATTTTTGTTGCAAGCTTAAAGGTGCCCGTACACCTTACGAATATTGGCGTTTTCGTCCAATATTCGTAAGGTTGAGGCAGTGTACAACCGCAAATACTGTACAATCGATCGACTTTTGACTAACCAGCAGGTTAGAAAACTTCGGTCGATCGTACGATTTTCGCAAGGTTGGTGGCGTGTGCGTCAAAATTCGTACGATCTACACTGCACATGCGGAGGCGAAAATACGTGCGGTCAATTACCGCAATTCGTCCAGGTGCTTTCTTTTAATTACCGCTGATCCAACCTTGCGATAATCAGGGCAGGATGGGGCCGCCGTACGAAAATCGTACGGTTCGATCATAGGGCGAAAAGTGCCGTCCGATGATCGCAAGGTGTATGGGCAGCTTAATACTGACAATTTAGCAGTTATATTTGTGTTATTAACTGTACCACCATCGAGATTTTTCCAGCACAAATGGTCTCCTCCTGTTTGTCTGTGCTAGTGAGTGGTATATGATGTATGATGTGTGCAACCAGTAATTTTTCTTTGTGTTATGTGTAGCTGCTGCAGATACATTTACCCTCAAACACCAACACCTGGAGATTTCCACAAATCCAGCACAGTATGCCATGATCCTGGACATAGTCAACAACTTGCTTCTACATGTGGAGCCAAAGCGCAAGGTGTGTGATTTTATTTTTTTGTTTTCTTTCCTGTTCTAGAGTCCAAGACAGAAGCTGTGTAGTGATTTTACACACTGTACACCACAGCTGTTCCTGTTTCAAGTAAACCCATTCAAGGAATGAGCAAACATTTACTATATTTGGAACAAAATCACACCAATACCAACCAGGGAATTTGTGAGGTGTAAGGAAGTAACACCTAAGAATAAGTCTCTAAAATAGAATTGATTTACAATTTCACTTTAAAACCATGATTGCATAAAATATATAAAGGTCATTTCGAGGGATCTCATATGAAGACAGATATTCCAAATACATTTAGGCCTGGTTCACACCTGAATGTTTTGTAGCGCGTTCAACGCTCGACGAACGCTCTACAAAACACTCAAACATCTAAATCCCATTGTATTCAATGGGTCTGGTTCACACCTTGCCGTATTTCCGCCCGTCCGAACGCGATACAAAACGGCCTATGCCCAAAGACATGTACTTCTTTGGGGCGTTTTGGTCTCGCGTTTCCATTGGGATACAGCCAAGTAGCTCACGGAAACGCGGTAAAAATGTGGGCCCGAACCGCGCGACAAACGCGCATATTCAATACGCCTAGGTGTGAACCCAGCCTTACAATACACTCATACATATGCCCTTTACCTTCCACACATTTATATATACACACAGTTCCATAAGCAGATAAGCTTTTTCTTGCAATGATTGCAATAAATTGCAAGATTGTGGCAATGTTGTGCATTTCTCAGAACCCAGAAAGCTAGCTTTCAATAAACAAATTGTGAAAAGGTGCATACCTTTTGTTGTGTTTGGCCAATAACGACAGCAGGGCAGCACAATGCATGCAGAAGTTGGGTGCAAGGCTATTGTATTTATAAAGACATTAAAGGAGAACTGTGGGGTTAAGGCTTTTCCACATAGTTCTCCTTAGGGTGACGGGAGGACACAAACTAGCATCCTCACGTCACCCTATGCTCAGTATACGGCGAGCTACTGCTCGCCGTATACTGAGAAGCTGAAGCAGATCCCGACAATTATGTCTGGATCCGCCCAGCTGCGCGAGTGACAGCTGGCTCTGCCTATCTAGAGGCAGAGCTAGCTGTACCCGCCTCGTCCGTTCCGCCAGTCAGCGCTGGAGGATCGGAGTGTGGAGGGGGTAATCCAGCCCCTCCCCTGTCACGGCAGAGAGCCGTGACAGGATCGTGAAGTGAGCCAACGCCGGTATGTGTTCGCTCACCTCCCGATCTACTGAGCCGACCTGTGACAGTCTCATTGTCACAGGTCGGCTAGAACTATGAGGTGAGTGAAAAGCACTCACCTCATGGGTCTCCTTTAATTAAATGTATATATGAATATAAATGAGCACAGTGATAGAATTGTGTCTTATGTTCTCCCCACACTTAGGAGCACAGCGAGAAAAAGCAGAGAGTGCGTTTCCAATTGGAGATCTCCAGTAACCCCGAGGAGCAGCGCAGCAGTATCTTGCACCTCCAGGAAGCTGTCCGACAACATGTGCTACAAATCCGCCTGCTGGAGAAGCAGATTTACTCTATAATGAAGGTGCAAATCACTATTTGTTATCTGCAAACACAATTATCACTGTAATATACTAACTGGAAACAATGTTAAAGCATACTTCTCAGCTTAAATGTAAACTGGCAGTAGGAAATAAATGTTTAACATTCAGCACCCATGAAAAAACATCCATTCTGACAAGCCCCCTTCACCTTCTTGCTGGTCCAAAATTGTGGTGAGCGACTTTACAGATTAATTGTAAATTGGGTGGCCCAAGCCATGTGAAAGACACCTGATGGTATGAACATATATTTCCTGTTGCCAGTATATGTGCTTATAAAAACTGCAATGTATTTTGTTTGAGATGTGGACAGAGTGCAGAGTTCAAGGGTTTTATTTCTTTCTGTGCGTAGGGGTGCAGTTTTCACCTGGAGAGGAAGGCTGAGACAGCAATAAGAACATTGTCAAACCTTCTTGCCCTTCCTCACTCTTCTAATAATGTGTGTATTAACGGTTTCCCTGTTGTGGGGATTTATTTATCACTTCCTGTACTGACAGGAGGTTTCGCGAAAATATCCCCAATTGGGATGGCAATAAAAACCTGGCAAAGGCTCAAAACCTTCTCTGCTCTATGCATAACAATTAGTTTTGGCTGCAGTTTGGCCTTAGGGGTGCGTACAGGCACAGTTTAAGATCCATCTATGCACACAAAGTTGGACTGTGGCACTTGCTGCGGCCAGGCTTTTACTAATTGCTGTAGTCACAAAGAAGGGGTTTGGAGGCAGACACAGCGGCTTCCAGCTGATTATCACTGCCATTTGACAGTGAAAAACTGCAAAACAATGTCACCTAGATGCTATTTTTTGTAAAGAATGTGCCTTTCTCTGTCGCAGAGGCACTAAATATCTTGGTCATTAGGGGTTGGACATAGCCTTAGAATAGTGAGGCAGTTTGCAGGAATGTCTCCAGGGCCACTTTGCTAGTTTACCCATCCTTTGCAGATATGACTATCAAAGCACAAGTGTTCAGTCTTATCTAGAATCTCCTGTGGGCAAGCAATGGCTGGATTGGTCTGATCACTTGAAAATTGTATGACCAACCTAAGTCTGGACAGTTAGTTTCTTGCTCCTATGATACATTATGATCATCAATACCATGTGCCAGTGCAGTGAAGTCTTCTTCCATCCCCTATAATATCTAAAGAATAAAATGTGTGTTTTGTTACAGCAGCTGCATGACGAGAGTAAGAATTATGTGTTGCATGAGCAGCACCAGAAACTTCAGGCTCAGCTTAACCAAGAGAAGATGGACTTGCAGCAGAAGAGTGAGGAGCTGAACATTCTTATTAGGTAATTTCTAACAGGCAGATCTGGGCAAGGTTTCTTAGTTTTTTTACCATCTTTTAGCAAGGGAACATCTGATATGGTGTTTGTCAAATGTTTGTCAGCCCTGTCATCGCAACCAGGGCCGGCCTTAGGGGTGTGCGAGCCGTGCGGCCGCACAGGGCGCCATGGCAACAAGGGCGCCGTGCGGCCGTCACAGCTCGTCCTGACGCACAGGGCGCCTAAAGGCCTAAGGCCGGCCCTGATCGCAACCCTTGCAGTTACTGAGTACAACCTATTCTGTTATTGAAAAACAACTGCCCTGTTCCTGTTTCATGTATTAAACAGAATCTGAAAGACTGCTTCTCTCTCTAGTCTACCTTCAAAAAGTTCAAAAGAATGTTCTTTTTATCATGTATTTTTGGGGCTGCAAAGGTGAAGCAGTGCTTGGATGAAAAGTGCATAGCCATGTGACTTGAAATATAAATAAGATGTCCCCCCTTACAAAGTGGAAGAGCAGAACAGAAGCTGCTTAGATTAAACAGCGGTGGTTTATTTTTCAGGTGCTTCAAAGATTTCCAGCTGCAAAGAGCAAACAAAATGGAGTTGCGCAAACAGCAAGAAGATGTAAGCGTGGTCCGTCGCACTGAATTCTATTTTGCGCAAGCACGTTGGCGCCTCACTGAACAGGATGGACAACTAGGCATTGCAGAGCTGGAGCTGCAGAGGTTCCTGTATAGTAAGGTGAGAGCAAGCATTACATTTATTCTTTTCCTTCCTTTAGGATTTGTAAGTGGAAAGTAAAAGTTAAAGTTTTGTTTATCCCTGACTGTAGAAATTATAATGTGTGTTGTATAGAGAGCTTTTGGAATTATATATTGTGTACAGATGGCTAAACCTATGCAAGTCAGACTAGCAGTGTGCACAACTTCCCAACTGATAAATCTCAGCAGTGGGTTGTGTTGGATAATTTGGTCACTCTTGAGAAAAGCTGGCACTTCTTCCCCACAGGTATGCTTTCCTAGCCATAAACATGTATGCTTGTGTAATCTGAGTGTGTGTGTTTGACAACCTGAGAAAAACATTTGAACTTATGGAATGGTGGCTGGTTTACTGTCATTCTGATGTCTGTCTTTAACCTAACAGATATTAAAAGTTTTAAAGATGGCTTCTTGTGGCAGCTTCTACAACTTAGACTAGTATGAACGAGCAGTGTGTCTCAGGAATGAAGGTGATGATCATGAGATAACGCTACTATTTAGGTTCATGATTTTTATTTTCTTATATTGAAGGACATACGGTAATACTGTGAATTAAAATCGCTGCCAAGATCTACAGTAAAAAAAAAAAAAAATGGCCTCGCCCTGGACATCTTGCCCCTCGTCCAGGCTTCCTTTTTTGTTTTGTGCTCTTGCCATTTACGTTCCCCCAGGACCTACAAATTCCTCTCTCAGGTTTCTTACTGCACTCACATCAATGTGTCAGATGTCTGTCCTGCTTTTTATTCCATACAGGCAGTAGGGCACCAGGGTTGTGTTGGATTAAGAGAAATTCAATAGAATGTAGAGTTTAACTAAATGCTTTGTTTTTTAGGTAAATAAGTCTGATGATACAGCTGAGCATCTCTTGGAGCTGGGTTGGTTCACCATGAACAATCTGCTGCCTAATGCAATGTACAAGGTGAGTACCTAAGGGCTACTCAGTAACCATTAGCCTTAATTGTAGCCACTGGATTAAGCTATGTGAAAAGTTCTATAGCTTCTTATAGGGACTATGCTGACAAATGTTTGAGCTGTCATCGCTGCATTTTCTTCTGAAACTACAAGGTGCCTGACTGTCAAGCTGATCCAATGTCTTCACTACTTTGAGTCACTGACCTGGAATAAGTATCTCGATCCAGTGTTCTGAATTCACAACTACATACAAACTCGGAAAGTACTGGAGCCAGAGATGAGCAAGCTGCTGGAATTAAAAGGAAGGTTTTTGGCAGAGGCAGTTTATTTATATCAGAATAGCTGTACTGTAAAATGAAACTTCAGTTTTAGTGCTTTTACACTTGGAGTGCGATGCCTACCCCCCTCTGCCAAGATCTTACCTGAGAGACCTGCTCAGCACTGCACTTCCTCTTCCTAAAATCTTTTCTATTGGTCCCGGCCCATCCCGTGTGTACATGGACTGCAGTCTGTATTCAATCCTATAGAGAGTTCATGCTCTTTTGGGACAGGCAAAATAATGGTCCATCTCCCAGGAGGCAAGGCACTGAACAATAGCTATGGTTTCCTCATCCCTTAAAGTGTATTTTGCTGTCATTTCAGAAACCTCCACTATATGTTTGTTGTGTTCTCATTCACACAGCATACGTAAAATATATTTTCTTAATATTTCATACCTTCTTAGATGTTTCTTTGGAGCAGGCCTTAGGGCAGCTACTAGCTACTCATGCCACAGTGAGTCTGTCCCTAAGACAAAGGGTGGGTGGGCAAAGTAAGTTTTCTTTCAATAACATAAAATGCAGGAACCCAAGCTTCATTATCTTTAACCTTATCTAAGGACAGACTGTGTTTAAATCTAGTTTACACTGATAAGTCGATATGCCAGCACAGTACAGATGTGGTTAATTATGGTAAATACCAACTCCACAGCCCCCCCTTTGAAAGTACAAAGAATGGAAACTATCAGTTTTGGAGTTTTAAGAAAGCAGCTAGTAAAATGGTAAGTAACATGTTTGTTTTATTTTTTGCTATGTGAATGGGAACATGCAACAAATATAAAATAGGTGTTATCTCAATTTGGCTGCAAAAGTGGATAGACACGTTAATGTCCTTGTAATGTTTACCTTCCTTTTTAGTACCCTACCGGAAGCTGTGGGTTATCGTTATTAATACTTGTGTATCCCTTAGTAACTGAGCATTGATACTTCAGTTGGCATTGCTTACATTGAAAGAGTGAGGTGATGGGGGATATCTTGTTCCACACCCTCTGACCAAACATTCCCAGTGTGGGTTATGCCTCCCTTTTCAACCTGAAAAGTTTACTCCTCTGAATAAAAAAAAGATAGCTGGATCACAGGGAGGAGCTTCTGTGCTGTGCAACCCTTCAGGACTCCAGTATACCCAGTTAACGCCAGAGCTGATATTTTTGGATGGGATTAACAAATCAAAAGATGATACATAAAGTAGTGTTTGCTTCTCTTCATCATTCATTATGTAAAAATCATTTTCTTCTGCTAATATAAGACTTTGGATTTTTCTATCACACACAGGTGGCACTGCGACCCCAGAGCCCTGCTCAGTCTGGCAGGCAACTTGCACTAAGGCTGTACAGCAAGGTTCGACCACCTGTTGGTGGCATCTCAGTCAAAGAGCACTTTGAGGTAAGGTCATTATAGTCTCTTTCTGTTATATTTGGTAGAATTAAGTTTGTTGTTCGCGGAGTTCAATATTATTCCTTATGTTTCATAGAAAATAAAAATGAAGGCACTCATGGGCCAAATAATAAAACGTACACATTTACCTTAATGATACAGCGCAAACATATTATGGTGCTCTTTGCATCATACAACCATAACCTATAACATTAGCTTCTGCCCCAGCAAAGCTTTAGGTTTGTCCCTATATAGTCACACAAGCACTTGCAGTGTCCTTGTGCAGATAAGAACATGAAGACAAGGCATCAGAGTAGATATTATTGGCAACCGCTCTAGTTTTCCTTTTCCTTCGGGTGTGTATTCATGTCAGTGTTGTATCTGCCCAATTTGTCTTTCTCGAGTGCCAGAAATCAAATGTCAGATATGAGCAATGTGTTTTATAGTTTCCATTAGTAACAGAATTGTATCTTGGCTTGTAGGTGAATGTGGTGCCTCTCACCATCCAGCTGACACATCAGTTCTTCCACAGAATGATGGGATTTTTCTTCCCAGGCCGCAATGTAGAGGAGGAAGAGGTCGGAGATGAAGAAGACAAATCAAAACTTGTTACGACAGGTGAGGACCATTTTGACAGTGTAATGAATAGATTTGTTGAATGTGACTGGCAGCTGTTCTACTTAAATAATGGGCTAGGGGTAGTTTCTGTGATCGCTGTCAACTTAGCAGCATGGTAGAGTTGATAGGAGTGAAGTGCTGCAATCCTGGGGCTTTTTTCTACATAGTCTACATATTCTTTCCCTCTGTTTGCATGCCCACACAATCTAGAAACACTGGTTTGTTAACTAGAGTCCACTCAAATCGGTCCAAATATGTAGGTGTGTGACGACAAAACTATAGATTGTGGCTAATTGATATAAGCTGATGTAAATATTAATCTGTAAACTGATGTGTACTATATATTCCCTGTACAAATGCAGGAAATAAATGAATGTTCTGTAACTAGTTTGTATGCACTTTGGTCTTCTACCGGGTAAGGAATTGCATAAACCTTTCTGTTTTTTCCCCATTGTCTTAGGGATGCCAGTAGTGAAGCCAAGGCAACTTATGGTAGCAGAAGACACAGTGTCCCTTGGTCCAGGGAAAGGCGTTGGACAGGGTTTAAATCGAACAACAGGAGTCAGGCGATCATTTAGAAAAGCGCCAGAGGTATTCGATATAAACCACATGGAACATAAATTCCTATAAAATACACTGTAGGTCTCTGCTTAGAGGACAGGTTCACTTATTACCTAACCCCAGCCCTCCTCCCTAGCCTCCTTAACTACACTAAGCTGAACTAGTAAACATTTCCCTCACCCATATCTCTCCCTTGTGATGGCCATCTCTTGACATGACTGGGAGAATTTTTATGTCTTTATTGTCTATTTAGAGACACAGCTTTGAAGAATTCTGAGATATAGGGTTATGCTGCTGCCTCCAGGAGAATTGGACACTAGGCAAAAAAATGTATAAGGGTGCCACTTTAAGGACATAACCCCTCTCACGCACCAGTTTTGATACTCTTCTGTATTATTAATTTAGTTTGTTTTGTTTCTGCAATAAGATTCTGCTATCAAAATGCTGCTAGTTGATTCATGCCGGATTTATTCAATTCTGGAAGTTTCTCTAGCTAGCCAACTACACTGATAGTTTCTGCCGACCTGAATCTACACTGGTAAATTCATGCAGGATATGATTAATAGATTCATAAGGTCAGGCCAGTATTTCCTGGGGATTCTTGTTATGTTGGGAACAGGACCTTGGAGTTGTGAGTAAAAAATAACCGAATGTTGGTTTATAAGTTTGGGTATTTTCCCTCCTTTTTTTATTTTGCTTGGGCTGTGTGCATTTAGACTCCTAGAAGACCCTTTATGTGTATTTTGACTGATTTTTTTTTTTTAAATTTCCAACCGCCTTTTAAAGAGGCTGGGACTTTGATTTGATGACACATTTAATTTTGCTATTGTGCATATGCGGACTGCTTTTCTGGATTCTGCCACGGCAGTACTGTATGTCTTTGTCAGAGAGCCTCGGTGGGTTCATTCTCAGCCATTTCCATTTGCAGTCGTTCTACTGGGTATTCTGCTGTCTGCAACAACTGGATACATTTCTGTATATTTCCCTTCACGTCGGTCAGGGCCATGAGCATTACAGGGGAAAGTTGTGGCATTTGAACCTTTTTATTTTTTAGAGATATGTCTGTTTCAAGGTGGAGGGGCGAGCACACCATGACTTCTGAGAATTCTTCCTCTTGTATCTTGTACTATATGTAAAGCAGAAATCCCCTCTGGTAATGATTGTGTTACTTGCACTGTAGTTAAGAACAAATCTGACCATACATTGTCATTTTCTAATACTGCTCCTTCCTTGTTGGGGAGATTCTTCACTTTTCATTACGAAGTCTGAATTTGCTTCCACTATGGAAAATTTGTAAAAACTTGTAGAACCTGTTCAGAAGGTTAAAAAACGTGGAAAGCAGAAATCACCAGCACTTGTGTCAGTGAGTTGGACAAGACTGCTCAGGCTGGTTTTCAGACACAAAAAGGTTGCCTCTCTTATGTCCATACCTCGGCTAGAACAGTTTCCGAGTTTGTGAAGGACCTTATTTGTTTCTTCATCAGGACAAGGTTGTTTTGAGATCACAGGTTTCCTTTTTAACCAAGGTGGTTTCGGCCTTTCATTTGAATTAAGATACTGTTTTACCTTTCTTTGCCCAGCTCCTGTTTATCCTATGGAAATTTCTCTTCATTGTTTGGATGTTGTGCGGCTACCGTGTTTCCCCGAAAAAAGGACACTGTCTTATATTTTCTTTGGCTCAAAAAAACACACTAGGTCTTTTTTTCGGGGTAGGTCTTAGTTTTTTTTTTTTTATGTACAACAATCCACACTTATTCATGTACACAAATATGGTGATATGGGGTGCCGTACCTTTTCCAAGAGCAATTTGGTAACCAAGCGTTGGCCAGAATGAGTGAAGCGCACTTTCACTATCGATTCCTCACAGGCGGAGTTCATTTGGTATCACTCCGCCTGTGACAGGAGCCGGCGCTATAGAGGAGGCATCGGCTTATGCGGCTCTGCTCCATGTGCTGCCGCCTCGCTTCCTCTAGCGCTGGCTTCATTGGCAGCGCTGATTCTCTCCTGCCTCTCCCGCGGCTCTTCAAGTTCCCCCTTATGTAATCACTGGCCCCTGGAATGGTCGCAACTAGGTCTTATTTTCGGGGTAGGTCTTATATTTTAGCAATTTCCAAAAATAGTACTAGGTCTTATTTTCGGGGTAGGTCTTATTTTCGGGAAAACAGGGTATTCGAATTAATCTGTCAGTCACAACTTCCATTAGGTGTTCGGATTCTTTATTTGTCCTACCAGAAGGTCCTAGAAAAGGTTGTTTAGCTTCTAGATCCACTATTTCTAAGTGGATGTGTCAGGTTGTTGTTCAGTGAGTTGTGGGATAAGGTACCTCTTTTCCTGTTTGTGCTCTTTCTACTCGGACAATTAGTACTTCTTGGGCATTTCATAATCAGGCTTCTATTGCTCAGATTAAGGACGCAACTTACTCTGCACTTCACAGTTTTGCAGTTTTATAAAGTTGATGTTTCTGCCTTATCTGATGCTAGTTTTGGCAGAAAAAAAAGAAGGCTGTCACTTTTTATATGTGAAAGCACACGGTCTTGCCAATTTTACAACTTTTGTTGCAGTGCAGTTCCTACACAGGCTAAGTGCCATACAACCTTTCCTTAGTATAGCAACCCACAGTAGGCAAAGCTGCACACCACCAATGAAAAGGCTTCAGATGACATGTATACAAATACATTTGCTGATTGCAATGCCTTTTCCTTTCTACGAAGTAGAGGCTCTTTCCCTGACCGTCCCCGCAGGTACAGAATATATCTCTGTCAACCAAGCCATGGTATGTAGTTTCCTGAGATTATCTGATAGGGATTCATCATTGTGCATTTCTCTGCAGCATTTTCATCTACGTGACAGTTTGATATTATAATAATTAACTCACACAACCTTTTAAAGTTTGTTTTTCTTTTCTCACAGCATCCCGTGGATGATCTGGACAAAATGAAAGAGCGAGCTGCCATGAACAATTCATTTATCTACATAAAAATCCCACAGGTGCCTCTCTGTGTCAGCTATAAGGTTGGTGCAGATCTCCTGATATTTAATAAACTTTGTCTTTGTTAGCACCCAGCACAGGGGCAGATATTATTCTGCATTTTATATTAAAGTGACCCTGTTGAGAAATTTTTAAATCGGAAAAAAAGGTTCCCCTATAAAGCATTCTACTTGCTTGTATTTCTGCCTGCCCCACCGATCTTCGCTGTCTCTGCACAACACAGTAGTGACATAGGGGATGGAAAAAGAAACTACAATACTTGGTGGGGCATCACTCCAGGAAGTGTGTTGGAAATAGAGGATTCTTCAGGCACCATAACTGTTGAATAGAGGGAGTTCAGCTGTAGTATAGGTAAGTATGTCTCTGCTTTCCAGTGAAACCTTTTCTTCTGATTTCCAGGGTTGTACTAAGCACTTACATTTGGCAATGCATTGGCTTGCTCAGCTGATGTGATCAGATTTAACCACTTGAACTCCGCGGTGTTAAACCCCCTTCCTGTCCAGGCCATTTTTCAGTATTCATCGCTGCAGTACTTTGACATTTATTCCGTCATGCAACGCTGTAATGAAATTAATTTTATACCATTTTTTAGGGACACATAGAGCTTCCTTTTGGTGGTATTTAATTACCACTGGGGTTTTTATTTTTTAATATATTAAGGAAAAATTACCAACATTAAAAAAAAAAACAGTTTCTCCTATATTAAATGATAAAACATTTATTATTACCCAGTTTTTTGGTAAAATATAAAAGATGGAGTCACGTCGGGTAAATAGACACCAAACATGTGAAGCCTTAAAATTGTGCACACGAAACCTCCAAAAAACTACAATACCCAAAATTGGCCCCAGGCGACGCTTTGAAAGCTTTTACAGCTCATCAGTTTGGTGTTCTCAGTGATTGATGGCCCTAAAATGATTGCTCTCACTCCGACGTTCGCGACGATATGTAACACATGTAATTGTCATTTTTCGCACACTGGCGCATCGAACGCGTATTTACGTTTTATATGTGCGGGTGGGGGACTTAAAAATGTTGGGGTTTTTTAAAACTTTTTTTTATATGTGACTTATTTTTTTTAAATGTTTTATTTTATTTTTTTACACTTATTGTTATTGCTATCACATAGGGGGATAACAATCCCCCTATATAATAGCAAAGGCACACTGACAGGTCCTCTTTATGGAGACATTAGGGGTCTCTAAGACACCTAATGTGACCTGGGGACCGCAAAAGAAGCTGATGAAGCAGAGATCTGAGTCATCTGGCTATAGCAGCCAGATGACTGACAGGTGAATGCGGAAGTAATGTATTGCACATCACTTCTGCATTCAGACCTCGGAGGGAGTTCAGCAAGGAGGAAGATGCTGATGTCCCTCCCATCTTACCTCTTGACACCCTCCCGAGCCGGTCGCGGGCCGCAGATGGGCTAGTGGATCCCGGGATTGAAGGTGAGTGGGAGACATTCCATCATAAAGAAACGTTTTGAAAAATTAAAAATCCATGGAAATTGTCCAGTTTATTGGAAATTGTATACTTGTGAAAAATGAAATAATTCAGGAGAGCAATGAATCAGAAAAGGGGGAATTGTTTAGTTACATCAGGTTGCTTGGCAGTGGTTTGGAAAAAGGCAAGTGTTGGATTTGTGGCTGTACCAATAAAAGATCTGCCCTTTCATGGTCAGTTAACTTACAGTATTGTCTGTCCTAAGGAAAAAAAACTGTCCATAACTAAGAATTCTGACATATTCATATGAAAGATCTTTCCCGATAGTGCAAACCTGATATCTGTTGAAGTCCACTGGCTGGGTTGGATTTTCCTTGCTAATCGTTGACACTGTTGATGCCTAGTAGTGCCCTCTAGTATGTTCAGTGGATATTTTTGTAAAGTTCTTTTGAGTGTTCAGATCACGCCTGCATATCCATGTGCCACCCAGTGTCTCTAAGTAGCTTTAGGCTGTGCAGAGACTGAACAGCAGGTTCTGTGACATCTGCCTATCATCATGCCACTTTTATGCCACCAGGACCTTCCACAACTTCCTTCACACTGCTGATGGCTGTTGGCAGCATCTCAGCGGTGAAATACTTCTTCCTTTATTCCAAAATACTGAAAATGATTGCTGTCCCTTTATTGATAAGTTAGAGTACCCCTAGGGGTGATAATAAGCCCTTCCAATGGAAAGAAGTACTTGCTATCACCCAGGAGAAAAGCTGTACTCAACTCGCCGTCATTCAATCTTTGGAAGATATGCCTAATCTTTTTTTTCAGGGGTTAGGCCTTACTGTACTTTGTCTATCTTTTTGGCTGTATTGCATTTAGAGAAGTAATTTGCAAAGAGAGTATTTGTCTTGCATTATTCTCGATCAATTAACCCTATGCTTACTGCTACCTATTCCAACACATGCCTAGGTCAATACTGCATTTAAACTATGGATTTTTAACTATATTGTAACGCATTATATGTTATGTGGACCAGCCTTATAAAGTTGAGGTCAGTGTGTTTTTTGTTTTGTTTTTTGCTCTGTTTTACAGTAGTTAAAGATTATTAAAACTTGTTTTATATGATGCATTTACAGGGTGAGAAAAACAGTGTGGACTGGGGAGACCTGACTCTGGTGTTGCCTTGTCTGGAGTATCACAACAACACTTGGACATGGCTAGATTTTGCCATGGCGGTGAAGAGGGACAGTCGTAAGGCTCTGGTTGCACAGGTAAGGTTTGCTCTGACATTTTAGCTGCAAATGTGTAAATATGATCAAAATGAGACATTTGTCCAAGTTCAGTCAGAAAAACAAAACTAAAAATCCTGAACCTGTAGTTGCAAAAAAAAACCTTTAGAAGGTGTAGTTTAGTTTACTTTAATAGAGAAAAAAAATGCTTCCTGATTTCTAAAGCAATTGGACTACCCCCTGGATTAACCATCTGCAGTAATATTACAAGTTGGCATTTGTTTTGTGCACATAGGGGCTCAATGAAAAAGAAGCGGCATGGCCGTAGAACTATAGAGAAAAGAAACGAACACAGCCTATTTATAAAGCACAGCTTTAAAACTGACTGCATTGAAACTACATGAGCATTAGTTTGAGGAAAAAAAGCTGAGAGTAGAGTCCCGTCATCTGACCTGTCACAGGAGCAGTTCTCCAATCACAGAGCTTTTGTATTTTCTTTCTAAATTGCTTCACGTCCTGTCTTGCTACTACCTCCCCCTTTTTTTTTTTACTTTTTCCCTTTCTGACCCACCAAGTATAGCTCTTATGACACATTTAGTATGAAATGACTAAAGATGAACTTCTAGCTAAATATATTAATGTGCTCTTGGTAATGTTATTTGTTTCACAATTTTATATTGCATTAAATGATTATATTGTATGTTCATGGAAACATATAATTCCATTTGCATTGGCTGTATACACTGATCTATGAGTTTCACCACCTTCTACTTTCACTTTCAAGCAGAAATCTAATAATAACAAAACAAATATAAAAAGGGCATTAAACGATAACAGCGCTTGCTGCCATATTTACCTTTACATAGCTGTCCTCTGCAGTACCTATTTTTGCAACTAGATGTCTTCAGTATAACACCCAGCATCGTTCTACCTACTAACTCTTAGTCCAGGTTGTCCTGGACCCACCCCAGCCTGTGACTGGACAGGGAAAAGGGAAAGCAGCACAGTGATGAGTTCATTTTTTTTTACTCTTCTTTCTCTTCCTGTTGGCATGCTCCTAGTCAGCACATGAACTGATTGATTCATTGAGCTGCTTCTTCCTGTCACACTCCAGCCCTGCTATACAGGGACTGCAAGAGGCTGATATTGGGTGAAATTCAGGTACTTACTTTGCTCAGATTCAAAAACTATATACATTTAAAGATGTATTAATGATTTCAGAACTGTATAATTTTGTATATTTTATATTTGCCTAGAGTTTAGCTTTCCATTGTTCCATCAATCAGTTTCTTAAGGCTTGTTCGCGCCATCGTGCTGTGATATGCACGTTGGTGTGATTCAGTGCTGTTCATTGTTAATGGCACCCCAGAGCGTAACCTTGCATAGGGGTGCCAAAAATGCTACACTCATGGGTGCGTTAGGCAGCCTATTTAAATGAATGGATTGTGTCAACTCAACACAGGTTAATGGACATGTGTTAATGAAGCGCAATGGTGTTAATAGGCCCTTAGCGGATCATCTTACAAAACTACTGTGATTAATTATGTCAATAAATGTGCCAAAACAAAAGAAAGCGCCTCTCCCTTGTGTATTAAAATAACACATTAAATGTATTAGTAAATTTCAATCAATGTACTCGCATTTAACTTAAAACAACACGCATCTATGGACGGAGAAATTGGTCACGGTAACACATCCACATCTGAATGGCGACCGATTCATCAACTACCCTATGCTGACTACTGGAGTGTGCAATAAACCTCGGCTGAACGCGTTTTCGGGGACTCACCCCCTTCATCAGAGCCGGGTGTGTCCCGAAAACGCGTTCAGCCCGAGGTCTATTGCACACTCCAGCAGTTGGCATAGAGTAGTTGATGTTGCGGTCGCCATTAAGATGTGGATGTGTTACCAGAAGGTTCCAGACTCTTTGTGAAGAGTTGAGTTCCAGGTTATCATGAGCGCTGAAGATTACTGCGTTGCTGGATGTCAATAAATGTATCTAATGACATGTTCAATATGCCAATTGACACGAATTAATCTATACTGTGCAGGTCATTAAAGAGAAGCTGCGGCTGAAACCTGCTGCAGGCGCAGAGACAAAAGGCAAGGCTGAAACAAAGACTGATATGAATCAACAGGAGGAGGACGACAAGGCAAGACTTCTCATTGGACTCAGCATGGCTGATAAAAATACTGGAAAGAAATCCATATTTGGCAGGAGGAAATAAACTGTGGACATGTATTAGATGGCCTTTTTGGCTGTAGAGCTCAGAGAATTACTTACTGGATGTCATACCCTAAGCATTCTGTCTAAGACAGAGTTTTGGATGACGTACCTGTGAGAAGATCAGCACAGTCTTGCCGATGTTAAGACTACCGGTGTTGCTATCTGGAATAGCTTGTAAAATCATTGTGGGGGAATATTTCTCTTTCATATAGAAATGCAGTATTCCAGAAGATCGCGCTAAGGTTATGAGCCCTACACATCACCAAATCCATATCACCTTGTCTTTTCTCCTCTTTGTAGGCTCTAATTCAAACTTTAGTTCTTCCTGTATGACAGCCCCTTAACTGGGAGTTTGGTTATGCCCATAAATTGGGCTTGGAGGTAAGGAGTTAAATAGTCCTGTTCTTGGTTCTCCTGCCCCATGGGGAGGTTTTGTTTGTAGGAGGATACTGCGATCCCACTCGGGTTCAATGTTTTGACTAAGGAGCTGTTATGCACTTAAAACTAGAAATAACTGATCAGTCATTTTTGTTCCTGGAATAATAACATTGAGACTTTTTGTTCCTTAACCTTTAGAAAGCACCGAGGAGCTGGTGTTGGGCAGGACTGTTCAATCTGTTTATTTCATATCCCGACTGATTCAGAAGACAGCCTAGCTGTGTAGTAGCTGTCATGGAGGATCAAAAAATGTAATATTGTGGGAGGGGTTAAAAGAAGTAAGTGCATTCAGTGAATGTTCTGTCCGAGGGTAATAATCCTTAGACAGTGAGTCACACAAGCAGCAGTATGTCTTGGGATTGTGCCTGAATTCATAATGAAGGCAAATGTCTGACCAAGAGCAGCACCTGCCACTAAAAGCTGAGCACTTAATAGGAGCACCGAATGGCACAGTAGAAATGGCACCATGTCTTTACAGCATTTCTGTACAGTACACTTTTCTTTTAACATTGCATTTACTTTTCTTGGTTCACACTGTGTTCACAAACACTATACGGTGAAACAGCTATGAATTTAAACGGGAACAGACCAGCAGGGTTTATTTAATATCATTGCAGTGATGTGCTGTAACTTGACAACCATTCAGATTGGCTTTTCAAAGTTCTGAGTTGCCAGACACAATGAATGCCGACTTCCACTTGGTTATTCGGTCATTTTGGAGTGATTTCAGACTTGCTAAACTTTTCCTCTGAGAAGGACAGATTGTAAAGAAAGATTCTGCTACTTAGATATCTATGGGACTCTTATAAATGTTTCACACAACTTTCACCCAGGATTAAATCCAGTTTGAAAAATATGTGGGTCTTGCGTGGAAACATTTAAAAATGGACCCCTATCTGTATCCCAGTGTCGGGACATCTGATATTACTGCATTTTATCAGGATTAGGCTTTGCAGTTTTAAATGTACATTTACATATTCTAAACAAGCAGTAAATGATCTTTAAAACATTCCCTAAATAGCATACCTAGCTTCAGGCACTAGGAAGTAGTTAATCATCAAAGATCACGTCTGACTCTGAAGTCAGGTTGAAGTCAGATTCTAAATGACAGCAATAGGTAACCACTGTCTAGATCTAAGATGGACTACAATTTCAGTGCCTCTGTTTTTAATTTTTAGGTTGAATTCCTCCACAGTATCTGCAGCTACAGGAATCAGTGAGGGTTTACTGCTTGTTAAGACTATGGAAATATTTGCATGTCCACAGTCTGGCAACATGTTTACTATAACGTGTCAAAGGTGACATATCTTTTAATGGACACCAACAAAAATAAATGAAGAGCCTCCCGTAATATCACTAAATGGGGAGCCTAAATGGTGCAGAGAGCTCCATAGTACACTAGCCTATTGAAGTCATTCACAAATTAGTTTTTATCCTAGTGTAGCAATTTTGGTTTGTTTGCTGTGAGATATTGCTCATCACTGCTGCTAAACTAATGCTTAAAGCTCTATATGCCTTATGCAAGGAAATAGCTCCTGTATGATAATATATTATGTAGTCCAGCAATAAGGACCAAGTAAAATGCTGCAGTTAGGAAAATATTTAAATGACTAGAACTGGTAGACGTGCTTTGATGTGAACACACTCTCTTCCTCCAGTAGATGGAAGGACCCTGATACATGAAGTATAAGCTCCCAGTCTAACCACTCACTATCCAAGAGGCTGCTGCATGTTGCCTTCACTCTTTTTGCCTCACCATTAACACTGTTGCTGCCAGAAGGATCTGTTTCTGACCTCACTAGCTGCAAGCGTTTATGTGACAAGCATCTAATGAACATTCAATGAAAATAGCTTCCTGATAATAAAATATTTATTTTTCCAGAGATTAATTTGTAATTCTGATATTTCTGATGTCATTGTTCTGTTGCTGACTCTTTGGCTTTCCCCACAGCCCTTGTGCTCTTATTCCTATGTTTTATTATTGCAGAGCTAGGGGCTGTATGTTTCCAGGGTATCATCCCACCGATATGGAAGGCATGGACTTCACTTACCTTTGTAATAATACAGTAATGATTATGGTGTAAGAGCATTTCCAGAGGTGGTGTAACTTTTTATAAATGTATATATACAGTATACATATATATATACATATTTATATGCATTGAGGCGGGGCTGGGTGCAGTTGTTGCTGCTACATAGGTGTATAAACTCCTGCTCTCATCTGCAGACATTTGCACTTTTTGGTACGGATTGCTCTCCACCAATGATGATTAAAAAAAATCATATTGTTACTTTTAAACATAAGCAGTTGTTGTGTGTGGTTTTTTTTGTGTCCTCTTCTACAAATATATTTACTATAATTGCTAGAATGTTGTTTAAGTGTACCTGTTGCACATACATCACGGAGCAGGTAGTGCATGGACTCAACGCTCCCATAGATATGTGGATGGAGAAAACATCTGGATCGTGCGACAATTTAATGACTATGTGGATACCCATATAACTACATCAATAAAGTTGGCACAAGGGCTTACTTGGCATCAAAGATCATGTTTATACCATCCAAAACTTATCATGAACCAGCAGCATGACAACATCACTACCTCAAAATACGATGTTTAATCTCCAAATCAACCCCTTCTCAAGCAGCAGTTGATGTCTCCCAAGTACAGATATTGCTTGTATTGGAAAACCTATCGCAATTGCTACTGTTCCCAGCTACAAGCCGGCACTGCTTAGGATCCACCGCCTTCTCCTCTTTGTTCTTATTACCGTGTATGTTTAGCAGTATTGCTGAGCATTATGAAGATTATTTTTAGCCTGGAGGTGCTTAGATCATGCTGTACATTTCACAGCCTGTGAAAGTCTATGGCCAAGTTAAAGTATATTTCTGTATCCTTTTGGATAGTGTGATAGTTATGCCTGATGTCAAGTATGTATCCCATTTATGGAGTTCCCCTCCTCCTATTTGAACTGCCTATCACTGTCACTGAGAGTGGAAATCTGAAATTATAGGGTTGTCCCCCGAACAAGTAAGGGGAAATCTTCCAAAGGGGTACTTGTTCTGGGGACAATTGTCTTGAAAGCAAATTCCTCCACTGGTGCACAGAGAGCAACAAAAAGGGCATTGGTTTCAACCCATTATCCATTCTCTACTTACCCATGACCATCCAGAGCATAGTAACAGGTTTATCCTATAGCTTGCCCTCTTTGTTGTTGATGCTTCGCCAGACAATCACTCGCCCACCCATTCATGGTCCAGGCCCATGAAAATACCCAGTACTTGGGTTTGGGGAAGCAGATGACACTACCTTCCACCCACAATGCAGTTCTTCTTACCAGAGTGATCAATTACCAGACCTGAACACTAAGACATGAAGGTAGGGGAAGGTCCAACACTGCGTTTATGAAAGTCTTTTAACTCATGATTTTGTCAGATGAACAGGACAGTGGCAGACTGCAAGGAAAGCAAGAAAGTTTCAGTAGCAGAGAAGGTAGGTATCAAGAGAACCTGTCACTTTACCCTAAATGGTTTTTGGGGATATTTTCCATGCAAAAATAAATCGCCCCTAATGATGTGTGTTCCATGTGTGAGCGGTGCTGCAAGTTAAGACTCTTACTTTCACTCATTCCATGGAATAGTGTAAGCGCCAACATTCAGCCACTGAAACTTACAGTTCAGGCGACGGAACACTAAAGATAGCAGGTTGCTCGCTCTGCACCACATCTATTCATAAAATGTCTTGTATTATTTTCACAGGGTAGAAGGCATTCTGTGAATGGACGAATAGAGGGGCAGATGAACAATGCAATCTACCCTCAATCAATCCCCCCTGAAAATGCCTGTTGCCTAACAGTCCTATTCATTCACAGACTTTCATACTTTGAGTAAACGATCCATAACAAGGAGAATAACCTCAACTAAAATAGGAAACTAGCCATGTTACTAATGTAGTTGAACAGGAAATGCTTCACTGGGTTTTATTTTTCCAAAAATACGCCGCAGCAAACAGACCATTGCCATACATGATATGTAGAAGAATTACACCCATGAATAATGCAGTACTAGATAGGATGCATAAGCAACGGCCAGTACTTAGCAGCAGATTAAAATTGTTTGTCCAGCTAAAGCGGATTACCAATAAATGGCAGCCTCCAGCAGTGACAGCAAGGTACAGGTAATAGAGGGGAAGGGGAAAGAAACCTTATACAAAATATACATTAATAAATAGTTTCATAAACTAAAACGGATATTAAATTCTAAATCATAGCTTTATGCAAAAAAAATTGTTCCCTATTTTATATACTTTGCATATTTATGTTACAACAAAGTTGATTGACAAAGCGGTCCTATATATCAAGGCTGAATACATATGTGATGATGGAATACAGGACAGTATAATAATAAAAGTTTATTATATTACAGCTCTATAGTTTATTGAATTCTCTTTTTTGCTTTATTACACCTTTACAGTGTATTTTAGCATGTATTTTGTTTTATTACAACTCTACAGTGTATTGAAGTATCTATTTTATTTGGTTGGAAATATTTAATCATTATGGTCATTTTCATGGGAGAGTCTGAACTGATTTACTAAATCATTTTTTTTTTAAGTATTACTTTTTAACCCTAAATTGGATAACCCTCCCCTTTCTTAGGATTAATTGTCTAAACTGATTTGATGAAATGTCTAAACTCATTTACTGAATTGAGTATTTTTTTAAATATTCAGCTGTCCTTTTAACCCTAAATTGGATAACCCTCCCTTTCTTAAGTTTAGTTTCTTGCTTTTAAGGAATGTACCTCTGTGTCACCCAACCATTGGGTTGCATCTTGGAAAGGGCTGTTGAATGGGGACAGCTTGGCAACATCACGTTTTGGTCAGCTATGGGCAACTGGTCGATCAATAAAGGACAGATTGACGACGTCGCATCACACTGGCCTTCCGGAGATGAAAGTGACAGAGCGACCTCTCCCGCATTGCATATCCTTATTCTTGCCTGAATTTCCAGTTTGGTCACCAGCTGTGCAGCCAGAGTTAAAGGTCTTGTAGTAACACTGTAATGATGCAAAGTGTGCGCTATAAAGAATGAAAGCTTTCATATAGGTAATACTTGGTAGATAATGCTTAGCATCAAAACAATCGACGTAATGCAGATGTGTCCTCCGCAACAAGCACTATGCACGTCAGTCACTTTTTACCGCTCTTCAGTTATAACATTCACCTGCTGAGCTACAATTATGTAAGAATATACCTTTTAAAGTGTTTTTGGTACTGCAACAGGTTTACGTTCAAGGATAACTAGGTTTAGAAAAAGAAATCCCCTTTGATTATGATATGATTAAGCACCTCCTCAGAAGCTTGAAAATCACAGCTCTGCAAATATAACACTTTACCGGGAATACACACTGTAGGTGATCTACACAGGCAATGGTGTGTCAGTGAGAAGCCTTTGAAGCTGTTAGTGCTGACAAAATTGCAAATCAAAACCACATCTATTAGATTTTTCCATTAGAATCTTTGTGATTTTATTAAGACACAATTTGGATATCAAGAAGAGTGGCAAAGTGCAAGTACTTGTATATAACATAGCTACCTATAACTTTTTCAGGATAAAATATTAAAGTCATATTCAAGGATGGTCACATATGGCCCAAATAGAATTTGTTAGCGGTACTCACTGTGTGCAGACATTGGGGGAAATGATTGTCGTGAATCTGGGTAGCCAGACAGTGCAAAGATAGGCAGACATCTCAACACTTGATGAGAGATCTATCTATGTTTGGACTAACAATACTAATTTTTCTATGAATGTATCGCCCATAGATTCTGGGATGTGTTGCTAAAGGATCCATTGGTCCAGTGCTGAAGGTCCTGAACTGCACAGAACAGAAGGTCTTTGCCTTAAAGGTTAGACATTTCATTATTTTCCTCTGAACTGGGTCTGCACTGAGAAAAAGAACGTAATATGTGTCCTTTGTTAGCCATGTATTATTAGTATTATTATACAGGATTTACATAGTGCCAACAGTTTGCACAACACTCTACAAAATGAAGAGACACAGTACAGTTACAATACAATTCAATACAGAAGGCTTATAAATATTTCATATATTTAGTACACCTAATGTAACTTAAGTGCCACCTAACACTCACCTATACTGATTATTACCTATAATTCTATATTTGCTCCACAGGTATTACCCAAAGGAGAAGTTCTGCGACGCAACACACTGAAGCAATGTAAGGAAGAGGTCAGCATTCAGGTAGGCTGATGTTTTGGAGAGAGCCTCTAAAGGGGCTGAAGTGTATGTAAAGCCAAAACCTTTTCTTACTCTTGGATAAAATAGGAAAGGGTTAAAACTGCTGTCTGGGCCAGCTCCTATCCATTCAGTATACTTTAATGAGGAACTTTACCCTTATCTTTGAAATAACAACACAGGCACCTTTAGAAATGCTCGGTAATGACAATCTACAAACAGATACTTATAAATAATTTTTGGCTTTTTATCTTTTGCATACATTATTTGTCTTTTCCTCCCCATTCTTCTCACAGTGGCCATTTTTTACTAAGGGCAGATTAATATATCTCCCTTACTTCCTGGAACTCTGGCACATGTGACTAGGACATGTGACCATGCACAACATCTCAGAGGAGGAAAATGCCTTTCCCTGAGACCTTGAGAGATTACAAATGTGATTTCCCAGCAATGATCTGCTGATGTAACCTTCCCAGGATGCAATGCTTGGGCACAGATTACATCACTAATGCCCAAGAGGACCAGGAAGTGGAAACTAGTAATTGTATGCAAAATATGTTTGTTTAACTAGTGAATGTAAGTTGATTTCATATGGGCATGCAGATCTTCATGCTGATGTGATTTTTAGTGAAAGGGGGTAGAGGTCCACTTTAAAGACATGCTTGATACTGATCACCCAGACATATAGTATAAGAAAGTGAAAAGATGTCCGACTCAGGAGTAAAGTGCTGTGCAAGGACTCTGAATGTGGCAGATGTTTTGTTTAATAGCAAGCATGTGGCCAACTTTGTGGGAGGCTGTCACTGGCCCCTTATTAATTATGTATACCCCATAACACTAGTAGCCTATGCTACTAGGGCATTCATTAATAATAACTGAGCT